TAAGGTGTGCCAAAAAACGGCGGCGCGTTGCTCCACCGTTCGTTTTTCAGCTATCCACGGAAAACCTTGGGGGAGGAGGAAAGTGCACCCCCGCTGCGGCGCACTCCAAATTTATGGGGCTCGAATTACTACGTAAACCAAGGCCACCAACACTCCCGACTATGTAGTGTTTACGAAGACACACACAGAAGCCCGTCGGACCCTACTCGCGTCCCCGTCGCTACCGACGATGCCCTCCCCGTCGGACGGCCGCGGCCTACTGTCGTGACCGACAAACGTCGGAGGCGGCGGGGCCGCGCGCGCTCGACGGTCACGTGGTGGGGTCGGCAGCGCGTCGGCGCGGCGCCGGATATAATGGAGCGCCGGCCGTCGGCGGCGGCAGTTGACGGCGAGTCAGTCGGTGGCGGTGGATCGCGGGTGTACGAGGCGGACAGAGAGCAGCACCATGGCAGGCTGGGGATACGGCTCGAAAAACGGTAGGCAGCGGCGGAACGGGCCCTTCCATTACTTACCCCTAATAGTGTTATATTGGCCAGCTCTGCGCGACCTAATGCAGCGTTTGGTAGCACAATAACTATAATGTCGGGAGATGTATAGCGCATCATTATTCATTACATGTTTCACAGTATTGAGACTGGCTGTGATAAGCAGGATGAGGTGCCTATTCATCAAACAAATGTGATGAGATTTGCTATAACGACGCAATGACTCACTTATTGAATTCTGAGCAGTTATGATTATGCGCGCCCGTAGCTATAAATTTAGTATTAGGTGTAGGTAACTGGCGTATTAGACATTTGAACAATTACGTAGGCATACTGTACAAAAGTCATCGTTATGCATAGGCAGCGGAACGAGGGGGTACCGGGGCATCGTGCCGCCCTTTGATTTTGATGGGCGTTGCATGGAAAGAATGGGACCAAAAGTCGGCATTGCCTCCCCCCCCCTTAATTGAAGGTGTTCCGCCGCCACTGTTGTCATGCATGGCGATGTGGAGCCGTCATGCGTGTGCGGTGTAAGAAGATTACGATGGAAGTCTGCCTGTTGAACGGTGGCAAAATTTACGGATCCGCTTGAGCAGGGAGCTCCTCTTGAACGCGAACAAATTAGCTTGGTATACAGAGAGGCCTTTCCATTGAACTGAGCGGTAGAGCATACACATCAATATAAAAGGATGTAAACGTCAATCTTGATCAAGGTCATACCTACTTATCACTCAAAACTTTCGGCATGAAATCCATATCCCGCGCCTAAGCTAGCTATTTTTAGTGGCGACAATTAAAGTTGCTAAAGGTGGCACTACGGTTCGTCTTTTTGTGATATGATCTGAAGGTTTCATCTGAAGTGTTCTCTTGGAATGAACACCAGCCGTCGGTTCGGGCACGCGTCGGACGTGTGTCCGTGCGGATGTGCTCCTCCATCCATAAACCAATCTGCGTCCGTGCGCACGCCTTCATCTATAAACCAGGGCAGTTAGGCAGTTGGGCACCCCGCCGCATCGCTTCATCTTCTCGGGCGACGAGGCATTCACGGGTGCTCTCGATAGAGTGAATGAGACGGGCTCCTCAGATGTTTCCAGTAGATGAGTTTGGTTCCCCAGGTGTTCCCAGTAGATGAGTTGGGTTCATCAGGTGTTCCCAGTAGATAATTTGGGTTCCCCAGGTGTTCTCAGTTGTCAGTAGTGATTAGTGAGGTGGGTAAGAGAGGAGGGCTCCTTGTGTGTCGCTAGAACCCAGGAGTGAAACGTCGTTGACTGATGACGCAGGCTTTCGATATCTTAGTTGAGATACCTTCAATGGCTGCTCAATGCCCATTCGCCCATAAAATCGTGCAACTGCTGCCTGCCGTTTACTACTCTGCAAATAGACGTTTATCGGACTATTGGCCGAGGGATCAGATTGTGCGCGGATGCAACGGCTAACCTGTTTAAAGTGGCAGCTAATGCTGTTCCCTATTTTGCAAGGCGAATACTAGACTTATAGTATCGTGGCAAAAAGAAGCATGAAAGAGCTATCTGAATGCGTCATGTCATCATTGCTGAAAAAAAAACTTCCAAATATTCAGAGTCTTGGTAGACATTGATTTATGCTGACGTGATATTCCTGACACTGGAGCAGTACGTTCGTTGCCTCACTGATTGACATAATCAATCAACTGTCCAATTCTGACGGTCTGACCTGCCCCTGCCTGCTCGCCGCAGCGGCGAGCGCTAGTGGGTTTCGGCACCGTGTTGTGGTCGGCCGAAGCTATATTGGTCTGCCACGGCACCGTATCCCACTACTGGGGCGAGGTGACATGTCGAAACCACCGGCACGAGGCGTGGAAAGGCCGTGACTCGGCGCGAGCGCGGACCAGCTAGACCGTAACCGTGACCGAGACCAGAGACCAGACGTTGTTCGTGCGCGGACCAGACCGAGACCAGAGACCATAGACCAGACCGTGACGGAGACCAGAGACCCTGTTCGTACCGGGATAAACGATGGTTGATCTGAGACGGACCGTGGCTGAGTGACGACAGACCTGAAGTCCCGTTTCGATGGTCTAGGTGTGGTCCTTGTTGTGGAGTCGGTCCTGCAGTTGCGATAGGTATGGTGGTGGAAAATGGTGCTTCATGGGTCAACGCATGCCCGCAGCGTCAGCCTGTTTACTGTCGCAACCAGCGTAACGGGGTCGTTATTGACTCGAGCAAGGCATTACTCATCCGCCGGAACCAATAATGCGTAACGGTATTGGCCAACTCGCTTTCACAAGAATGCGTCATTACGTATTAGGTGCTGTTTGTTACTTGTGGATATTTGGGGGTCCTAAGTCCTAACTATTGATTTAGGGGAGCACTTGCATTCAGCATGTGCACTGTGCATGCACTGAAATGTACCTATGCCTAATGCTCGTTACCACACATTTTATGTCATGATGAATTAAACGTCTCATATGACCATTGAACAATTGAATTTAGTTTTGATATTTTGATCGAAACTTCGAATAACTGATTTCAACCCTTGACAGTCGCATATCCAGAACTAATCGCAGCTCATGGCCAGCGCTTGATTAAATTGCAGGATTTTCATTTTACCGCAAACTGTAATGTCGATGTTTGGTCCATTCAACCCTCTTTGAGTATGAAGGCTTCCTTGTACCACATTTATGACCCAGGGGTGACTATTGCCTGCTGATTATACATTTAAGCCTTGCTCTACAAATTATGTGAAGGTAAATGTGTCCTTGATTTAATACGGTACCGTTGGTCCGTTGCCCACTGCTCGAACCTCGAACACGGCAGTGACCTGCAGTTGCCGTTTTCCTTCCCCGGTCTGGTTTCTGTCGACCCGTTGTATCGCATGAAGCATCAGTGGGAACCGCTACAAACCAGGACAAATTCTTTTGTCAGGAAGAATCTGCGACCGTTCGTCCTTACCATTACTCACGCAAGACTTCACTGCTTTTTCCAGCTCATTGACAGTTCATAACGATCCGCTATCCTCAAGGGCGATCTTATAAGGAGGATAGGTAGGCCTGTCCAGTTATCAGCTTCACTAATGAACTCATTGTCCATAACAATTGACCTGTCACTCGGTGTAGCTGCCTCGGGATAGGCTTTTAGCAATATCACGTTTGCAGCGGGCTGCTGCATCGCGCCTGCTTACCTACCGATATCGGCTCTCAAAGATCCATCACAAAAGTACACTAATGCAATGCAAAGTTGGATGCCTGCACGCGAAGTCAGTAATTCTCAAGTCCAAAATCAGAGTCTAACCCGGCAGGGTTAGACCAAGCGGCGGCAGGGTCAAGGGTAGGGCTAATACCTGGTTTGACTGTTTCGTTGCAAAGGTAGCGTGTGGCATCGTAGGGCGGCACTCTGTGTAGGAGCTACACAAACAGTATTTTACCTATGCTGCGTCAGAAATAATACCCGACATTAATTCTGTGTGGCTTGCTTGCTGCCGTTGATCCGACGCAATTGCAACAAATGATGTTTATCGTGCTGCTCATGTGATGTGATTGATAAGACTTCACTTGTGGGTCGGATAACCACGGTTGAATTTCGGCCCCGCTCGTCCTCCGCCCTATCACCTGGGGTGGGGTGAGCGCATGCAATCACTATTTTTGACGAGCACATGAAGAGGCCATCCTATTGAAGGCCGTTAGATGACCTGTTGAAACTGGGAGTACCGGCACTTGACTGTCAGGGAGTGTCAACTTCAGCGAGGCCAGGCTGTTGCACAATCTCTTTTCACTACTGTGAAGCGATAAAAGCTCAGCTCAGCAGGCAGTGAATTCAGCGAAAGTTATAATGCACCGGCGTTACTATTTCGAGATATTTACTAAGGTAACTGAACAGCCACTGCCAAGACCCGCTGGCTAGACTTAGCTCGTTCTGTTTTTCTCCTGCCAGTCTATTTGGCCGTCGGGCGGATCACCAAAAGAATGACTGTCCTGGACAACGCATATGGAAACCTTTTAAGCCGGGACTTAAACGTCAACTCAGTCGCGATCGAAACAGAGATAATCCGAGATATCGTGGGCATCAGCATAGTTCATGGTATCGTGCCTGTCGGGCCATCAAGGTCATGGTGCACTTACCTACACAGGATGGAGCTTCGCCGAGCCAATAATGCCGAAATGCTGAGCCTCCGGCATGGCTAAAACGCATTTGTTTGGTATGAGCAAAAGTATTAAATGCTGGACAGTCCGATTCACTGTATGTAATGTGATTAATGTCAGGACATAATGCCAGTGTAAATGATATTGATACCATATATTCATTAAATTTCTTTTTTATAATTTGTTAATTTGATAACCGATCCATACTTCAAACGGCATTCATCGGAGTTATCTCGACTGCCTACCCTGTGCAAACGTCTATGGCCCTGTCCGCCGGTGTTGCTTGCTCGGAAATACCTGACCCTTCCTTGAAGTCTCCTCCAGTCCAGTGATTGTGTGCCATAACCTCACCGCCCGGCCGCGTCTCACCCCTGTGACCCCTGCACCTGTGCCCTCAGGTCCGCACGCCTGGAGCAAACAGTTCCCGGTGGGGGACGGCCAGCGGCAGTCGCCAATTGACATCATCACCGCGCAGACCAAGCCGGACGAGGCTCTGGAGGCCAGCCCGCTGGAGATCAGCTACGACCCCAAGGACGAACAGGTCATCGGTAACACTGGTAAGTGCTTACAGCGGCCCGGCCCGCCCGGGTCGGCGCCGCCCCGTCTGCCGTCTTCAATCACCGGGCGGCTGAGGGGGCCACAGAGTCGGCCGACGTCCGACCGGGAGTGTCTAATGGAACACGATCTTTCGCCGTTCCATACCGCCAACGGTACAAATTAGAAACATGGTTCAGCACCCGTGTTATCTCATCGAGATGAAACGCTACAATAATTAGGTTCGACAAATAACGTCGTCTTGGATCTGCCGTTGATCTTCCGCTATGGGTGGTGCGGCGTCTGTATCGGTGTTTCTGTGCCGTTCCACTCATGCCTATGAGTACATATGGGAGGGAGTCTGCAGTAATATCAGTGTCTAGATACACGCGCCCCACACTGTGACCCACTGTGTCCCCGCCCCCCAGGTCACGGCTGGAAGGTGGACTACACGAGCGGCACATCCTCGATCCGCGGCGGCCCGCTGGAGGGAGAGTACGCTCTGGCGCAGTACCACTGCCACTGGGGCCGAGAGGAGGACCGCGGCTCCGAGCATACCATCGACGGAAAACGGTACGCCGCCGAGGTAAGCAAACGGGGAGGATAGGGAGGAGAAGGAGCGGGGAGGGCAGGGAGTGGGGAGGACACGGGGGACAGCGAAGAATACGATTACAGTGAGGACGGTGAGGAATAGAGGAGATGCGAGGGATAGAGATGTAGGGGAAGTATAAGCTAGCTATGTGGGTACGAGTATCAGAGGACGAGATACGAGTACGACACGGGTCACGTTTATTGGATCATCTGCACAAGACAGAGTTAAAAAGCTTTTAGGCGTCCTTTAGCGACGATTAATCATCTTCTGCAGACTGGCTGAGCTTCATTCGCCTTTCACTATCGTAACAAACCATGACATGTCTTTGAAGTATGCAACAACTGATGACATCATAGGGGGCGTCGGGCCATGCGGCCACATCATTGTTATCTTCACACAGCCATATAGTAAGGTCAGCACAGCCACTCTAAAGCTGCCATTAAATCTCCGCATGAGTTGACGTTACACGGTGAACCCACGTTGGGCTTTACTGCGAACCGGTTCAGACTCGCCGTAAAACAGACGGCTGTACCGTACCGGCCCGCCGGTCTATGAGGCTTTCATGGCGGGCGCTCCCGTAGAAAAGCGGTCGATTTATAGTGACTGTAGCCACGCGACCGGGCGGACCCCGGAGACTCAGTGGTCTATGGTTAGGAACTGGAAATGATGGCTGTTGCTCTCATAAATCATAGACGTAGGGAAGCTAACAGTACTCATTTAGGTGTTTTGTCGATAATGGTGAAATCAGACCAATTCCAAATGACAAAAAACGATGCAGATTGATATTACTGTTCATTGCTCTGGTAAAGATTAACAAAAAGACGTATATTGAGGCACAGAGCAGCATATTTTAATAACCGGTTGGATTTATTAAAATATGCTGCTCTGTGCCTCAATATACGTCTTTTTGTTGACAAACGATGCAGGATTACCAGTCTCGGATTATCGGTCCTGGCATGCTATATGGCTATTGCATGCCAGCCAGCCCAGGTTCTGATGTAATTCTGGCAGAGCGTCCACCTGTCTCGGACGTTCCGCTCTAGTCTGAGCAGCTCTAGCTGCCAGCCCGCGATACCCCGCCAGCCGCTCGGGCCGAATTGGGTACGTTACCGTCTATCTCCAGTCCTCTCTGACGGCCTCGGGGCCGGGCAGCGCATCCACTCGAGACCCAGCTAATGGCAGCCGCGGGCCAGGGAGACCCGTGTGGCTGTCCGCCTCACTTCTACCGGCACCAGAACAATGGCCAGAAACGGGGCCGCCCTGTCACGCGGAACCATTGATCCCGATGTGCGGCCACATAAGGCCAGCCACATGCGGGTCAAAACAGACGCGCTTCTGCCTTCTATCCCAGGCACGTCATGGATAGAAACGCTGGGTAGAGGCGATAAACCATGAGAGCGTTGTGGTTTTAGTTCAAGCCGGCGCTCTGTTGAAGGTCTCACACGGCTGATGCTCGTATCCCTCTCTGCCTGAGAAGGAAGATGTGTTGATGGAAAATGCTTAGGTATGCTGATTGCCGAGTACGTGGTCGTAATCAGATAACGTTTCCGTTTTGTTTCTCTCACGAGCGTGCCTCGCTCAAGAGTGTTGCATGGATTATGGATGCCCTTCAGTCCCTCGTCTAAAGTCTTAACATTCCAAGCTTGCTTCTTCTTCCATGTACCAACATGACGGGTCGGATAACTGTCATCGGAGTCACGAGCAGGGTATTTTGTGCGGTTTTTGGTTGACACACAGTCTGATCTTCCGACACAGTGACTCACTTGTGATATGGGGCACACATCGAGCACTTCTCCCTGCGGTTACGGTGTCGGTGTGTCAACTCTCCGGGACGGGACTCCTTCGAGTCCCAGCGGCCGTTCTATGAGCCACCGAGCCAGTCATTTCCGTCCTACTCGCCACCCGACAGCCGCCACGATCATTTGGCACACTGCGGTGACGTCACGCTGCCAGTGACGTCACGATGGGAGTCGGCGTGACGTCAGACCCACGCCAGGAATGGCGGAGATGAGCTTTGGTTCGGTCCGGTGAATGATGGGACAGCCGCTCCCAGCGAGCTGAGCGCGGCGGCTGGCGGCGGTCGAGCCATTAGCTCTGATTCGGCAGACAGGCTGCTGGGAGCAGGTGGCAAGCTGCTGGAGACAGGAGGCAAACTGCTAGGGATGAACGGAACAGGAGACCGCAGCCCGTCTCGGGCTCAAAAGACGGACTGCTTGGTCCTTCGTGGAATAGGTCTAATTGCTCAGAGTAAAGCTACTTGAAGGGCAGTGAAGGCGCCAAATTTTATTCAAAAGATGTAGATCCTGGGTCTGAGTTCAAAAAGGTAGAGCTTTGAGCGTTTTCCTATACGGAACATTATCCTACCTGATCAGAAGTCTTAAATCTGATGGGTAAAAGCGTTCGGTATCTGCCTACGAATTACCGTGAGCGAAGAACAGACAATTCATCTTCGTGTGTGGAAATGATTTGCATGTGAAGTAGTTCCTTGCTCCATTTAAATTCAGGAGAAAGGTGCTAAGTAGGAGCGCGGAGCGCGTCCTCCATTTTCTGTTCAACGCTTCGCTGTGTTTGCGGTTAGCGTGGCAAGGCACTGTGTGCGTGTATGTTGCTGTTATTCCTGCTGGCCGCTGCCGTCCGTCGACCACCGGGGGGTCACCCCGCGCGTCCCTATCCACCCATTGATCACGTGCTGTTTTCCACATACCTTCGCACGTGTCGCGCCGGCACTCGCGCTGCAAACTAACTAGGGTGGCGCACCTGGTGATTTACACCTGCCTCACGCCCGTCCTGCACTGTGCCTCGCAGCAAAACAGAGACGCCGACCTGGGTTGGAATCCAACCCGAGGCCCGGGCTTAGGGGTTGCTGGCTCTGGATTCGATTGTAGAAATTACCTGTTTCATGCTCTGACCAGGGCACTGAAGAGTTGTTCTGACCTAACCGTTCTTTCTTTTCAGCTGCACCTTGTGCACTACAACAAGAAGTATGGCAGCTTCGCGGCGGCAGCTGACAAAAGCGATGGCCTGGCCGTCATAGGCATCTTCCTCAAGGTGAGTGAAAATCATACCTCAAACACCACAGATAATTATCTTTCTGTCCTATGTTTTGATAGATTATCTCGATTAATACCAACACACGCATTTACATACGGAATTACGACGAATCTTATGGCGGGCGATGGGACACCGGCTCCTCGGACGTTCAAGTCCTAGCTGCTGCTTGCGTCGTTGTCTAGCCCTAGCCCCGGATCCAGTCATAACCGCAGGCACCAGGCCGTCACCGTTGTGGGTCACCCGTCTAGCCGGCCGCCCCGTGGTGGTCATGAACTGCGTCGAATTCCGGCTACTGCGGGAGAGGGTACTGGCTGCAGGAATCAGCGTTATGGTCACAAATCACGCAATGCTACAGAGCAACAACCGCGGCGCTGTGCCGTCGGCACGGTAAAACCTAGATTTATGAGCGGGCAGCACATTCTGACGAATAGGTACGGGTACCGCCGGTGACCACATATTTCGCCGCTTATATAATCTGCTGAGGTCTCGGAGGAACATACCTGTGACAGTGAGGCAGCAATAGTAAAGCCAGTTTAATAACTTCCTGACTTTTATAGCCCAGCTTGAATAGAACAAAACTTTTCCGGTAATACACAACTGCAATTGTAACAGACAATTTCATGGCTAAAGCACGGCTGAAAATTGTTAAACGTCTTGCGTTTTACACATCAAATTGGTTGTGTAATAGTTGTAAATGTTGTTAAACTGGGACATGGTTTAGTCCAGATTCGCTCCCACTGCCCCGCCCACTGCACGTGAGTGCACAATGCTGCCTTTCTAGACGTCCCGACCAAGGTCGGGGCAACCTCCCTCTAAAGCGGAGCAGTCACATGTCGCTCTCTGATGGATGTCGGAAGCGTCACCGGGTCGGTAATGTCAGCGTATCTCATGCACCGGAGGTGCTGATCAGTGCCCGTCGGCCGTGTACCGCGGTGGTGTCGACCCAGTTCGGACAGCGCATCATGTCAGAACGGTCTAGGCTCGGCTGCGGGTAACGGGACCGAGACTGGGCGAGACTTAGCACGCCTCCGCACCCTTCGCCACCACGGCATGGAGCAGCGAAACCACCGGTCTCAGCACCTGACGGACGGCGCTAATTTATGTAGATGCTGAGGCATGAATTCCTCAGATGTGCACACGTGCCTAGCCTGCAAATTCAATTGATGTTGACCAAAAGCTATGGCAGAACCTTTCATCAGTCAACTGCCCGCCTACGCGCGTTATTTGTTTATGCTGATAGTGGCTCCTCTCGTGCTGGGCTCGACGTCTCCTCTCTCGTATCCGTATCTCGCGTCTCCAGTATCTCGTGTATCGACAATCACGCTCTCTGAGCGCGGGCGGGGCGCCACCCTCTGCCGGTATCGGGCGCGGTACCGTCTGCTCTTGTCTTGACCTCGTGACCGGGCACTGGCCTATCTATCTGCCGACGGCCTCCGCCCCGGCCGCCCCGGTACTTTGATAACACGGACTGCCTCCCACTGAGCCGGGGCGGGGCGGCGTCCCGTGGGGCTGACGAGGCCACGCCGGTGTGTGCTGCTCGAATGCCGCGGGAAGGGTCCCTGACCCTGTCCGGGGGAGTGCCAGAGAGAAAGGGCGACTTCCCTGACTGTGTGCCCGCAGAGGAGAGTGGTTGCTCCCTAAACCCGTGCGACTGTTTGGAAGAGGAACAGCTTCCCACATACACTCGTACCTATGCAATGGTTGATCGGCAAATACAAACTCATTCAGGAAACTGCTATTCAATATTTGACCAAATCGTAACAGGCTTCCCTTTCTCACTTCATTCTTCTCCTTGTCTTGAACGACAGGCAAAGCATGCATCTCTGAATCATACCCTCACAGGCGTCAGGATGTGATTCAAGCTGGCCGAGAAATGGACATGGGTAGGTAGTACAACAGCTTCATGTCGTTCGGAAGTGATACTTTCTCGATTTAGCTTATTCCGCCGTCTGTGCCCGATCAGCATTTTCTTTTCCTTTTCCCTAGAACAGGAAGACGCCAATAACATACCGGAGTTGTATGTGAAGTAGGCATGCATCTATTGTTGCCCGTAATAAGGAGAAACGAAACAAACAACCTGCGGGGAACCATAATCTGTTTCCGTTCGCCAGGGAAGCGGAAAAGCGATGACGGCGGGGCCTGAATTTGCCCGTCAGTTTTCATGGTAGGTTTCTCTCGTCTTTCCTTTAATGGAAAGGTCAGTGGCCGACGGTTAGTGTCCCGGAGTGCCTAGCCGCTGGCGGTGAAACCGACGCCTGCCGAGAGGCTAAATTGGCGGACCGCCGCTCCGGCCATCGCTCTCGGATGGGGTGTGTGCGGGGAGGTGTCTGAATGTGTTTGGGAGATGAAGTGCGTATGTCAGGGAAAGCTATGCGCATAGAGAGGGAAATTGTGCACCACCTCAAGCTGAAGTCCGTATCGTGTTTCAATGCTCGTAGTTGAAGCCGGGTTTGGGTACTCGTAGCCGGCCGCCTTTAGAAAATGCGAGACGGGCCGGGCCGGGCGCAGCTCGCAGTGGCCGCCCACAAACCTGGCTCACATGACTCGTGTTTTGCAAACAATCACGTCACATCCCACAACAGTTCGGGCCGCTCAAAGTTACAGCTACGTGTCTGTTACATTGAGCGGCTGACGGGCTGCCTTCAGACAGGGTTTCGGAGTCGGAGTCAGAGTCGACGTTGCCCGAAGTCTTTGGAACATGCCAGAAGCTGGAGTCGGAATCGGACCAGGTGCATCGAATTGAACTCTGGAATGTTTATTGGAAGCTGTGAAAAGACCTGCCCATGTGACAATTGGTTGCTCTTCCTGAAAATTGAGCGTGCAAATCCTGCCTTTATTCTGGATGAAACGGGGACATCTGCTTCTAGCAATGAGTGTGCTTGAGTGTGTGTAATATTGTGGCGGTGATGATGAAATGGTATGATTTGGTATTGAAAGGCCAACTTGCAATTCGACCTCAAGTCAAAGTTTTATATGTTCAGAGCCTAGAAAAGTCATGGTGCTTGTCAGCCAGTCCCATGTTGTTGAGCTTAACCTCTTTGCATACTGATATCTTGCTGATGTTCGAGACTCGGTGCTAAGGGTTATGCAGTGCGTTCGGGAAAATTTATTATTGCTAAGGTATTCTAAAAGCGTAAGGAGCGTCAAAGAAACGTTCCCAGCTCCCACACCGCCCAGGCTATTCATTTCTTATAATTCATAATTTATATTTCGTGTCCGATCCAGAGTCGGAGCCGAGCTTGGAGTCGAAGTTGGAGGTGAAGTTGGAGTCGGAGTTGGAGTCAGAGTTGGAGTCGGAGATGGGCGGAGATGGAGTCGGAATCGGAGTCGGAAGTGGAGTTGCCCAGAAAGCCGGAGTCTGAACAGTGCTACCACGACTGACTCTGAAACCCTGCTTCTAGAAGGTTAACAGTTTACAAGTATCTGCGTCTTTTGCTCGAAAGGCTAAACGATTTCATGTATGCAGACGAAATACGAGTATGCAAACAATATCGAATATCAATTACAAACATCTTTTAGATTTTAAGGCACATTCTCTCACACGTTTTATGCTTTGACCACAGGTGGGAAAGGAGAACAAGGAGCTGCTCAAGGTGACGAACGCCATGAAGGACATCAAGTACAACGGCAGCAAGACCAAGATCGAGCCCACCGACCCTGACAACTTCATGCCCGGTGAGTGTGCTATTCCTGCGCGCAGAGAACCGTTGAAAGGCACCTAAACTACGGTCTCCGGTAGCTGACGTCCGTAGAAACGTTCCCAATTCCATCAAAAGTCTCTGATTTTAGCGTCCAAGTGCGTATCATTAGGTGGCTGCGTTCAAATGTTCGGTAATTGATTCGATACCGTCCAAGCTGGGGTCGTGATCAGAGCCTTTGCGAGCTGGCTGTTCCGTTCATCTGTCTGCACCTCTGCAGCCGGTCGGCTGCATGCAGGACGGTCATCATCATTATCATCAGCATCAACAGCAGCGGCAGTGGCTAGTGCCAAGTGTTTATTTTATCTGGTTATGTTGAGCGATAACATTATCGTAAGCCCCATACGGAAATCAACATTTGTTTTCTATGTCTAGCTCCCATCGGGAAGTTTTAGGAGTTCTTGAAAACTTTATTCCCGCTCCTTGGACGCCAGAATAGTTTGTCCCACGTATTGCGTTTACGCAATATTTCTGTATGCGGGTACTGCGTAGTACGTATCATAGTACGAGCTCGTACATGGCTATTGGCTATAGAAAAGAACGGTGACAGACGACAGCACTCAGTAAACGAGGAAAATGCTACCGTCTGTGTGTGGTTTCGTTTAGATATCCTGCTGGCGAGAGGCTGTAACATGCCTGGAACCTTTGCATAAACCGAGGCTCGAACCCTAACACGATCCGCCCCGGGTCGTCCCTGTGATGAGTCACAACTCCCGTGGCGATTAGTTTGTCCTCAGTCTAAACTTTCTTACGACTCCCATGGCGCGGGCACTCGTGTTTAAAAATGGCGCAACGGGCACAAATGCGGGTAGGGACACCGCGAGCTGTAGGTATATGATAGTCATACGGATTCAGTGTTAATGTTTAACCGAAATGCCGAGAAGTTAGACTTCTGCATTTAAATTGCCACTGTCTCGTAGGTAAGAGTGACAAGAAGATGGTGTGTTAGCTGCTAAGTCGGTGATTTACATTATGAAAGCTGTGTCCGTGTCTGCTATTACTTATTACGGCCTGTCGTTTTATTCATGAAGGACATGTATCACTGCATTCACATTTCAATGTAAGCACATTCCCATGGACTTGAAAAAGAATAGGACCTGTAGGTATGTCAATCGTATTAGGATGACTTCCGTACCACGTCTATTCTCTTGATAGCATAAAATGTTGCCGAGAAATGTCTTTTTTATTCGATTAATTCATTGGTATTGTATAATTATAAAATTGGGCGGCAAGTGATTGTCTATATCGGCACAATCATTCATATGACGTAGTCACTGACCACTGGTCAGTGGTCACCTCTGCGTGGACTATCCTGATATCGGATATCGGCCTAGTCCAGTCGCGATCACCTGCGTCACAACGCGGCCACACTGGTCACTGCGTCCTCCACCCACTCGAATTGATCTGGGTTTGTTATCGAGCCAGCTGTCGCCGTTTTGGGGCGGCACGCCCCTCCCCGGCAACAGACAGAGAAATATTGCCGGTATTTACTTCGGAGCATTTAAATTCGCAGTTAATGCGTCTTCCTCGCCGGCGGGGATACATTCCACTCGGGCGGCTGTCAGGGCCGTACGCCGCAGGTGCTCGCTCAGCCGTGACGCGCCATCCCGGCCCTTCTCCAGCGCTCTCTCATCTCTCTCTCCCTCTTGCTGTCTTCTCTCCTCTCTTCTCTCTTCTCGAAGCGGTGCGTTGCGCCACTACGGACAGTGTCCGGCCATGCTTGTATCCAGCCTGAGTCTGGACGAACATAAGCTTTATCAAGTGTTATAAAATTAACGTAAGTTTTATTATTTTTACCCTTTGTGAGGAAAGTCTGACAGGAGCGGCTGCGCTGCAGTCGGCTCTGCTGACCCGTATGACCTCTGGCAGAGACGGTCCGCCCTGCCGGTGGCAGCGGTGACCTCTCTGTCCCCGGGCGGGCTCCGACCAGCTCCGGTAAGGTAACTGCCGAGATTTACCGTCTCGCCCGGAATAGCTAGCTGGTAGCGGCTGCAGTATACAGTCGGAGACTGTGTGGCGGCGTCCCGGGCGCGCAGGGGACCGCGCCGCGCGACTGCTGTGCCCCCGACCCACCCCTCTGTTCGGCCGATATAACTGTCCCAGGTGAGCGGTCTCCAGGTCAGCCCCCCGACTATTTGCGGAGGCCTGCCATGGCGACTGGACGCCGAACCTGCACGGCATGTTGGCACCAGCCATATCTCAGGGCGGCCAACAGACAACAACGTCGCCGTCGGCTGTCCACTCGATCTTCCCCGTAGAGGGTCGGCTGGTGACCGGTCAGACACTGCCCTGCCCCACCCTAATTGACAGGGTGTAACGGCTATCGATTGGAGAGCGTTTGGTGTTCAATTTTGGTGCAACGCTCGGCTGCTTGGAAGACTACCCAGTCCCTAGCCCGGCTGTTGGGCATTTGTGGATTCGTACAAGTACAAGGTCGGTCCGAGCCGAGTTTTCTCTCGTTTGTGATGTACTCCACCTAGAACGGCGATTTTATTCTTTTAAGTTTAGCTCGTTGTGACTGACAGTTTCAATGCTAGCATTATTGTCAGCGTTACCCGTAGCGGCTGCATGTTCGTGAACGTCCTGAACTAACAGCATTGATGCAGGGATGGCTGGCTCATTAAGTGAAAGGATAAGACGATTCCAACGTTCTATTCAATCATGTAGGTGTGAATCGTCATGCAGGTATGCAAACATTGCTCCGAACAAGATAAGCTGTCAGTGAAGTAGATACTGTGGTCTTTGAGGCAAATGAGCAGGCCATCTACGATACCTATACTTGATAAGTGGATGATGTGATAGCGGAAGACTTTCCAAGGACGTACCTGTCCCTATCGATGAGTGTTTACCGATTGTCTTTGGTTATCGAACGTTTTCAAACAGTGCATCACATGATCGACCGTAAGGTTACTCGCGGTTCATCTGTACCGTACACAGTTTTGACAACACTTGAGGGTAGATTTATCCAAGGCTATGTAAACTTTATCGCAGTTTGGTTATCTGTGACCTGTTTAGTGTTCATAGGTTGAGGACCTGCCCGACCCAAAGGACGCCAAACAACTCCAAATTCTATATCTCTTAATCATATTGGAGTGGTAGGCGCGACGGATCTTCCGATTCACTTGAAGATAAATCATTTAAAGGGACTTTGTAATGTGGATGGGTACTGTGCTCAGTGTCATAAAGCTTCATAGGTGGGCACCCGCGCTTTGGTATGCCAGCGCTTGAAGTGTCTCATCCGGAGCAAGGATTGCGATGCCCGACCCGGATCTCGCTCTCCCTCCCTCCCTCCCTCCCTCCCTCTCTCTCTCTCTCTCTCTCTCTCTCTCTCTCTCTCTCTCTCTCTCTCTCTCCCTCTCTCTCTCCCTCTCTCCCTTTCTCTCTCTCTCTCTCTCTCTCTCTCTCTCTCTCTCTCTCTCTCTCTCTCTCTCTCTCTCTCTCTCTCTCTCTCTCTCTCTCGCTCACTCTAATCTGTTCTCATCCCTTTTGAGGTTCAGGTCCAACTGACCACCTGTTCCAGGCTTCCACTGACATGATCCCTTTGCAAATGACTCGCCGTCACATTAGTGTAGCTTCACATTGTCACAAACTATTATCCGTGCTACCCGCCGCTGACCAAACGCAGCCCAGCTGCCCTGAAGCTTGAACTTCTCATTACGATCTTATCATCAAAGAATGAAGCGTCGAAAGGCAAAGGTGCAAAAGTCAAGGACTTCTGCTCTGGGTGCAACAACACGAGCGCCTGGTCGTTTGGCGTAAGTGTTCGTATCCCGTCCCCTTCTCCCTTTATGCGCCGGGTACGGCGACCCCACCTGACGATGAGTGCCCCGTTCTGTTCCACAGACACGCGCGTCTACTGGACGTACGAGGGCTCGCTCACCACGCCGCCGCTGTACGAGAGCGTCACCTGGATCGTGTTCGCCGACCCCACGGAAATCTCCAAGGAACAGGTGCGTACGGAGTGCGTTCGACCGTGACCGGTCACCAGAGTGTTCAGTGAGGCAGGTCGGCACCCTCCCCGCACTGGGCTGAGGCGGTAGAGAGCGCAGCTCGCCGGCGCCGACCTTCGCGCGGTCGGCGCGGTCGATTGGGGCCGCCGGCGGGCGCCGAGGGCTGCGGCAGCACGCGCCGCTGGGTGATACCGGGCTCCGACGGCGCCGCCGCACCACGCCAGGCCCGCATTACCTGAGCTCAGCCTCGCAGCGGGGTCTGGCCTTGGGTCGACCGCAGGCTCGATGTAAATCGCGTCACCGATGGCGTCGGAGATCTATCGCTGTTGTGGCGGCGGCGGCGGCGGAGGCGCGGTAAATCCCTCACTCCTGCGGCGGCGGCTGTGGGTGTGGTGAGTCCCCTGCGGCGGCCGGCCGCTCCGCTAATACGTGACGCAGCCGGCGTTCTGCCAGTCACGGACGCCGGGACTCGGGTCGGCTTACCTCCTCCCCTGCATTCGTTACGTTGGGTCTGGCTGCTCGACCCATAGTCCGGTAACCTGCACATCATGGTCACAGACCCACTTCTAACGCCGACTGCGATTCGGTCATGTGCTTACTCATGGCTCATGAATGTCCACTGTTCACTACTCGACCATAAAAAACGCATATTTTCTTTCGCTAGAGGCGACGAAGCGTCCACAAAAAGGTCTCTGGAAGGCTTTTGATAATTATCAACGATTTTAGCCGCTAGCAGTAGACAAAAAGCTCTAAGGAAGATGGTGGCTAACCCCATTTAGTTTTTCTCGATGGAGCAAAAACTGCATAGATCGCTGCCATCCGGGGCTTACCCTCTCTGCTCCGGTTTACGGCTGACGGGGTTCTGTGTTCGTTCGCAGTTGGCTGAGTTCCGGCACCTGAAGCGGCACGCCAACGACGACGAGAAGGGCGAGGACAGCGACGACGACGACGGCATCATCGCCGACAACTACCGGCCGCCGATGCCGACCGGCGAGCGTGCCGTGCGCAGCTGCAACGCGCCCGTCAAGTTTGTCAAGAAGCAGTGAGGGCCGCGCGCCGAGCGTCGCCCCGTGGCCGTCTCCGGCGCGGGGCGGTCCGCGCCAGACACCGCCGCTCAGCCCACCCGCGGCCGGCTGTCCAGAGACTGCCGGAGACCCGGCTCACCGCTCACCGCACTGGTGGAGACATGCGCTTCCTGTTAGAGGCTCCCAGCGGGGCCAGCCTTAGCTACATCAGTAGTGTTTGTCTAGGACAATCCAGAGATATATCGCATCGTTGCGCGCCGAGAGTTGTTGAGCCGAATTAGTTTTGTACTCGATGTTGATTGTTTCTGTGAGCGGCCGTCCGCGCTGACGGTTTACCGTGGCGTCGATATGTCGCTCGTGACCCGCCCCGCCCCGTCTGACTCTGTGGACTGTGCCGCCGGTGTACGGTTTTGGTCGGGGATTTAGCCCCGACTGGCAGGCCGTAGTGCGGTAGTGCAATCAGCACGGCGGGGTCGCACAAGGGTCAGGTCCCAGACACTGCAATACACCAGTGAATATACTAACCCCGATCTCTATGATGTTGTTGGTCGTGCGGTCACCGGGTTCAGAGACCTAGATAGAGAAGGTAGGGAGGATAGCGCTGCTGACGAGAAGATTGAAAGAGGAGCCTGGAATTTCCGAGCTGCAGCGTGCAGGGGTCGTAATACGGCCCCAGAGCTCTGGGAACGTGGCATGAGAATCACTGCAGCCGGTGAGCGTCTGCTCACATGCTGGCATCACGGCCGATCAGCATTCACATCACGGGACGCCACAGCTGTGAACAGTCACCGTCAGCCCGGAGCTGCAGCCCGTTTTGTGTAAAAGGGCACCTTTGTATCCGAGGTTATAAGTGGGGGGGGGGGGGGGGTGACCTTAAACGGACCGACGATCAAAGGTCAGACTCGCAGTTGCCTGGGATGTGTGTGTGTGTCGGCTGTGGAAAAGTATGAGGTGGTTAATTGTCAGCGTCAGTGGGGTGGTGGCTGTCTCCGTGACGCAGCCATTTCCTCGAAATAAGCGACGGTGCGACACTGAGCGAAGGGATATCGTTAGCTTTCGAGCACAGAATGCAGCAATACCATCGATCACCTTTTTTACTGCAACACAGTCAGCGAATATGACCAGTTGCATCGTGGTGTCCTTGAGCGTACACGATACTGCCGGCCGTTAATGACGCGGTACGCTGTCCGATTCCAGTGCCACTCCCCCTCCCGATGGCCGGTGTAGGGAAGTATGAGCAGCTTGCTGTCTTGGCTTCCATTAGTCCCGCCCCTCCCCACTCAGCCGCCCGGCTTCCTTACTACGCCAAATGCCGCCGGATTTCTTTACACTGCCAGAGCGGCTCCATTACCCATTCTCTGGCTGTCGCATCGTTCTCGATTACCCAATTAGCGGACCCAATTACCACCTGCATCGGCGAACTCCGTTTCTTTAACTGGCTTCTAGCCCCATCGCCCTAGCTCGGCTCCACCATGCAATGCATCAGCCATCTTTTTCCATTACCCCGCAAGCCTGGCTCTTCTACCGTCCCCTCCCTAGCCGTCTCAGATAACCCAGCAGCCCAGCTCAATCACCCCAGAAGCCCGACCCTTCTACCGTCCTCCCTAGCCGGCTGCAGTACCCCACCAGCCCAGCTCAGTTCCCCACCAGCCCGTATTTCCTTGCCGGTCAGCCAGTCCGGCGCCGCATCGTCTCCCTTCCGGCCGGTTGGACGGCACTGCGCTACGCACATCGCTATTGCGTGGGCGCGCTGCGCTACCACCGGTTCGGGCCCGGTGCCAGCTCGCCGCGCGATCGATGCGTCGGCCGGGACGCGGCCGGCGCCGGAGATGGCCCATCGGCGCAGCGCCGGTCGGCCGGTCGGTCGGCCGCAGCAGCCGGTGCCGAGATCGGTCAGCGGGCGCTGCGGCGGGATTGGAGGAATACATGGTACCCGACCTACTACCGCCCGGGAACGCCGACCTAATGGTAGACCGCTCACACACTGTCACCAGCCAGTGTTCCGTTTATGGCGCAAAGTAGACAGGAAGCGAAACAGAGCCAGCCCGCACCACAGCCAGCAGAGCTCAGTCACCGCGGCTGAACCGCTGACACCGAGCGGTCTGCTGCTCCCCCCAGGGACCATTCGCTGCCACTATCGCGTGCGTGCGGCTCCGATAGTACGCGACCGGAGCCGGTACAGACAGACGGCATAAAGCAAACGAGCAATCAGGCTCGGTCCGTTTATTGACAGATCCAAAAGTAGCGGCGTGATCGCTCACTCTGTCTATCAAAAACAAAAGAGGACGGGAAGAACGAGGAAGCTTCTGCTCCACCGATTCCAGAGAAAATGGCAGCCGACAATCGCCCTGCCTCACTCGGAGAGGCAGTGCTCTGCTCCACGGACCGGGAGGACGCGACCCGCTCAGACGCCAAAGTGGCAGAGTCAAATCATTTAGATTGTGCAGGTAGATAGGGTCAGTACGCGACCAGAAACCAGCGCTCAGCTCTGGCAACGACTTTCAGAGGAACAGGTGGACAGAGGACAGGTGGAAGAAAATAAATCAAATAGAAAACACATATCAGCATTGAGACAAAAGTAAGTACTAACTGCCGAACATTTACCAATCCACTGCAGGTTTGTTTCACTCGGTAGATAAATTTCACAAGAAACTGCACATGGGTGTAAGAGTACCGCAGATCGCCGCATAACAAAATTAAATAGCATTCGATATATACAAACAGTGTAAACCATAAAGTCGAACTATCTGACTAGGAGGGCAAACGCCTATCCTAAGCCTTTATGCTATCCTATGGTAGCCAAGTCTCTTTTCAACGACTAATAAGAACTATCAGGGTAAATCACTCTGAAAAGCTTTAACAATTATTGCTTTGACTCACGCATCAGGCACACATACACTTTCCGTAAGGATCTAAGCCCACAAGGCTTAGTCGGCACCAAAGCAACACCAGACAAGACATGATCATTTCTGTAAATTTATGGCTAGACGCTCCTGAGAAGTGAACACCGTCATTTGAGAACGTAACATATTAAAGCTGTTCCGCAACCACCTCCCATGTTGATTCGATCATATAAAATTTATAGAAAATATTGTCCATTTCTGATCGCTGCTAAGAATCACGTACCCAAATCGATAAGAAAACTGCAGCTTGACAGTTCAAAACCAGCCAACAACGCTCATTCGAGACGATTGAGCACACGAGTAGGCACTTGCTGCCAACAGGGCTGCGGTCGGGGATTGCGGCGCTGGCGGACACACTAGCTGCCTCACCCGGTCGAGTGTAGTGGTTTCCACCACTAGTGGGTCCGCAGGCGGACACCCGAGTCCGGCTGAAAGCTGACCGGCCGCTGTATGGCCGCCACTGCCGCCGCCTTGGAGGAGAAGCGGCGAGACAGCCGGTGGCGGGTCTCGCGGCGCCGCTGTGAACAGAGCGTTACCCGTCAGTCACGGGGTGTAAGTTACAGTGTGAGTCGCTGTGGACAAGGCGTCGGTTAACAATCACAGGGCGCAACTGCGGACAGGAAGGTAGGTGGCCACCGGAGCGCCGCTGTAGATAGGGCGTCAGACGTTAGTCATCGGGCGCAACTGTGGACAGGAAGGTAGTCACCAGGACGCCGCTATCGATAGGGTATAATTCAGATAGCTATGGCCATAGGCCACCCCCTGTGGACAGGAAGTCATTCACAAATCACAGGACGCCCGTACAAGGGAAGGACAGACCACCGATGGCGGTTTGCCGGTGCCCGCCGCTATCCAGCCCCGTTACCGACCCCGTCCGGCCCGGTCCGACCCTATCGGCGTCCGCTACCGTCCACCGGGCACGGGATACCGGTCACTGCCGGTGGGTGGGGCACGAAACGGGATACGTGCGGCCGCCGGCCTGACCAACATATACAACACAGGCGGGCTCAGCTGCAGCGGGAATACGGAAACGGAGCGAAACGTGGATAAACACCAGCGCTCACTGACATGTAAACGGAAGGAATGTGGTATTGGGGTCCAGGATCTCCGAAAATTTCGCGACTGGTGAATCTTCCTTGACCTCAAGCAATCGATTACCAGGGAAGATACTCCCTTCCCGTTTCTCAAAGTCTATTCTGAACAAAATGCCGTAGACGGCACAATCAAAGCACCTGGCCCAGTGACAAACAGGAAGGAATCACAGCCACAGTTCAGCAGAAAATGATGTCACATCCAGTCAGCCAGTACAGTCAGTAGTACGGTCAGTGTGCTTATGACGTTATCCTGTTGCCAACTGCAATGTCATAAGGCGCGGAGGAAGGGTCACTCGTCCCGTCACTCACCTTCCTGTGCAGCTGCTGGCGCACTCTGTACTCGTGTGACGCGATCGCCTTGCGGATCCAGTAGGGCACGTTGGGCACCACCTGAGTCAGGGTGAGTTTGAGCGCCAGCAGGGTGTGTTCCAGTAGTACAAACACCACCACCCACTCGACGGATGTGAGGCCGGGAGCCAGTGAACGCAGCGCCGGGGACATGCAGAGCAGCGCGCAGTTGGTGAACACCGCCACGAAACCGAGCACCTCGAACGCCGGCTGTGGGAGGGAGGGAAGGGGGAGGGTCAGTGGTACACAGTGGGCAGCGGCTACAGGCGGAGCCGGCAGGGAACAGTCGGCTGAGCACCGGCCGGGGAGACCTCCAAACAGCACGGCGGCTGGAGCGAGTGGTACGGAACGCGTGCCGCCACTGGGCGCAGGTCTCTCAGTAATGGATCAGACCCAGCCAGGCCCAGCCATGACAGCTCAAACCATCCATTTACAATAAATATTTCCAACAATCAATACCTATCGTCTTTTGTCAGTTTCTAGGTCAGCAAGCTCAGTCAATAAAGGAATCAATCCCATCCGATCTGATCCCGACCCGGTCAAAGGCCCACACCAGCCACCAGCCACCCCGACCAGTTCGTTCCCGCGCCGCTACTCACCATCCAGGCTCCGATGTTTCGCACGCTCTTGGCCGGCGGCCGCTGGTAGACCTTGCACAGTTTGAAGGCATCGGCACGGATCTCCAGCAGGTTGTTGAAGACGGCCCAGAAGGCAGCCATCGGGAAGACGGACGAGAAGAGGAAGGCGTAGCCGAACTGGACGAACATCTCCAGGTAGTCGTCGGATGTGTCCTGTGGGAGAGGAGGGTGATCCCGGGTTAGTAACTGCCGGCGGGTGGGCAGGACGCAGACGGCGGCACCTGAGTTCTGAAGCAAAATTGGTAATCACTATGGGGCCTGCGAGTCGACGCTTCTATCGATCCCGTGAATGAAAGTCAATGTTTATGTTTTAGAAGTAAGCAGCCTCGCAAAGTCCTCATGCGTCGGTCAGCGTTGTGCCGTTATAGGCCGTTGAACGCAACATTACCGCAAGCGTCATAGCAAAACCGGGAAAAGTGAACCGGCCTGAGGGCGACCAACCCACCAGGTATGCCTTTCGTCAGTTCAGTCACCGCTCATGAGGCGGCTCTATACGTATTTTACGTAACGCGTCTGATGCTGACCTCATCTACAATCTACATTCATAGATAACGTGGCTTCTTTTGCCTAGATATTATGAAAACATAAATCACCATCATAAGCCAGTCACTCTTCATAACTAGTTGAATTGTTCCTTTTTCCGCCAGGCAGCGTTCATGCTAAAAACGAATATGTGTCCTATAAACAGTAAAAGCTGTTGGAAAAACGCAGCCTTTTCAGAAGAATGGCTAATCACTTCTATGCGATTGGGTATCAAAATACGTAATCACACTTTCATGACAAGCATGTTTACATTTCCATAGAAGATAGCACTTTCTTTTCCGATAACCCTCCGGAGGAGGTCCGCTGCAAGCACTACCTCGTCGTGATTGTTTGCCACGGTATACGGCACATGAGCCCTGAACACGGCGAAATAACACAACGCAGGAGCTCTGACGCCTTGTGCTGGTTCAGTCTAATATGCAGATGATTCGCCGCGGAATCAAGGCTTCCGAGTGTGTATATATTCTGAGTGTGTAGAACAATTGAAGCAAAAAAGAAAAGGTTAGTAGCTAAAAGAAGTCCCGGCTGCGTGTGCGATTGCAGAGCACACAGGGAAAATATTGCTGATGTCTAACCAGTCGAAAATGGCAGTCCAGCTATCCCCGTGATAAGTCAGAGCCTCATTTCTCCTGACACGAGCACAAAGGCTCGCTCATCGCGGCAGACGAAGCGAAATGTCAGCACAGGTAACGAGTGTTTGTCGGCCGCACGTGAGGTCACAAGATGGGTGTCAGCGATAACTAGGGAAAGACCGACAGGAAAACTGCCGTAGATGACAAGGAAGTCTTGAATGGCAGACGTAACAAAACGCGACTGAACTTTCTAATGGCGTGTTGGCTGAGCAGCCCACACTCGAAGTAGCGCTGTAGCGTCAAAAGACAACTTTATCATGTACTCCTCAGTAACGATTCCCCTCCTCGTGTCAAACCGAGCCTATGAGAATCATGTGTCACTGGTGCCGAAGTCCTGCTCCCTCCCGAGCGCCCAGTTCTCGCGTGAGGACCGTCGGCGGCGGGGACGCTGCCCGCACCCGTCCATTTTCCTGTCGCCGTACGTCATGGTGCCGCGTCCTCACGCTCACAGGAAAGCCTCGGCGACTGACCGCCGGGCCGGCCCGAAGCGACCGCTCGCCAGGAAAACGGAACCAAGGACATCGGCCCAATGAATGCTCGACCACTTATCGGCGACATCGGTCATGCTAGCGCCGTATTTCGTGTGCGGCTCATCGCGGTGCGATGCTCACACAAAGACGGTGCCCGTGACTCAGCCGAGCGGTCATCGGTAGGTGGAGGCACCCACCGCTGACACTGGTGGAACCTACCAACCAGCGGCACCCACCAACGACACCGGCGCCACCCACCACTGACACCGGCCAGCCGGGTGGATTTTTTTGTGGTGACTACTCATTATTTACAAATCGAGAGCATTTAATATATGAATCGAAGAGATAACGCAATTGTCAGATTCATAAATAAAGTAGGTACACAAGCCATTACTAATCTTACCTCAAGGCATTCTGACTTCAAACAATTCGACCTTGCATGCACAATATTTACCTAAATTTTAACGTTTTCAGAAATCGAGATGAACAGCCGATCAGCCGACAATCTTCTAACAAATCATAACTCCAACAACAAAAAAATATCTAAGCTGATCGGCTAGTTTTGGAATTTGAACGGTACCATATTTAAGGTGGTGATACACATTAGTCATTACACATGTTTTATATGCACTTTTAGCAATTTCCCGCACCCGAAAATGTCATCAAGACGTAGTCCCGGACAACGTATGAGCCATTAAGAGCTTTTTAACAACATCCGAAGGGGACTAGAGGTCCTGAAATGATGGGTTCATAGTACGCATCGCATACCCGAAGGAAGGAACATCGAAGGAATACGCATTTCACATACCCCCTACTCATTGGATGTAATTAGTCCATCCGTACCGTAACCTGTGGTCTATACCAGGGATGCGGAGCCGGAGCCGGAGTCGGAGCCGGAGCCGCCGGAGCCGGCATATTTTGCCCGGAGCCGGAGCCGGAGCCGGAGCCGTGAAACAATATAGCCCGGAGCCGGAGCCGGAGCCGGAGCCGCCAAAAAAGGGGGCGACTCCGGCTCCTTTTTATTTTTTGAAGAGGAAAAAATAATTGACCTAGTTCGGTTTGACAGTACAAGGCAGTAAAACATATGGTACTGTCATGGGCCATCAAGTGAATGAAAAAAGCCGAATATCCCCAGTATCCCACAATCAACTTCCTGTCTGCTCCTCCCCCCCCCCCCCCACACACACACGTCTACTGCATCCCCAGAACATGAGGACCGGTCATCAGGTGACGGCCATTGTTTTGAAGCCAGTGCAGTGGACTGCGACTCCCAGCACCGTCTCTTCCCACCCCAACTCCCCCCCCCCACCCCTCAATGCAGCCGAGACGGGTGTCAGCTTACGATGCAGGTTCAGTGAACTCCGATTCGCGGCGACTGCGTTTCCAATGCCATCGCTTCCTAGTCCTTTGTTCTACCAGTTCTCTCCGAGGTGCGTTTGCGCGGGGCGCGGTGAGCCGGTCATGGCTAAGAGTAACGCGTATAACCAATCCAACTTTCCTTCCACCCGTATTTGATTGATTGCATAGGGGATGTACTGAGTCGGAGCCGGAGCCGCCGGAGCCGGAGCCGCCGGAGCCGGACCATTTTACTCGGAGCCGGAGCCGGAGCCGGAGCCGCCATAACATTTCACCCGGAGCCGGAGCCGGAGCCGGAGCCGATTTTTTTCTCCGGAGCCGGAGCCGGAGCCGGAGCCGTCTGAAATATCCACGGCTCCGCATCCCTGGTCTATACTGTTTCATTCCAAGCTTGCGGCCGAAGCACCTTGCTGAAAGCGGTGCGTGTTTTCTGTATATGCAGTGCTTACCAAGCTCTTACATTCAAAGACGTAAAATATTGAACGGAGGAGCAAAATGCAAGAAATCCGACCGCAAGCTTGATATGGAGCAGAGTACAACAGAGTGTATAGTAATCTTGCCGTAGCCCTTTGCAATTCTTCAACGTTCCCGTAGCTCCGGCCCGCGGTGAGTCACCACAGGCCACGTCGGGACAAAGTGGCGAGGAAGGCCACTGGCACCCTTCACCTCATACCGCGACCAGCCAGTCGAAGGAGTGTGCCTTCCCCACCACCACGGCGAGCCCCCGGCCACCTACCGAAGGTGACCTTGGTCACAAGGAAAGATTCCTTTCTGTGATGGTCCACACAATCGAACTACGAACAGACCATATATAGAAAGCTAGAAACTGTATGTTTCGGCATGAAAAACTGGTCTAAATACGTTCTTTACCTGGCTGTAATCAGATCCACCCAGAAGGCATGCAGTCGCGGAAAATAGCACTGCCGTGGTGCAAATGAAAGTTTTCTTTATTTCAGTTTGTGCCATCCAAAAAATACTTGAGCGAATGGAGCACGCATTGCATGTTGGGCGGAAAACCAGTATCGTTGCATGTCGGGGGACGATCTGAAACCCAATTTCCTTTTCTACAATTAAACGACTTGACTGACAAGTGACAGGTCCGGGCAGAGGTGCCGATACCGGCCGTACGGAGCACTCATAGGTCCCAGATGGCAGCACACGGTGCAGCCGAGCTCCACCTCGGATTGGATTACCGACATTAGGCTGAGCTTAGCGCGGGCGATACTGCGGTAAAGCGATTGGATGTCTACCAGATCAATGCAACGCGCTATATACTCGCATTGCTCAATGCAGCGATATCCAGGCGTTGGGGCGGTGGCGGCGCCGATGCCTCAGTGTGTGCTTATCGACAAGTTCCTCACCAATGCACGGGCCATAGTGTCTGCACTGGTGACGTCATAGCGTATGTTTACCGCACCCCAGCCGTAACGTCACAACACTAGGGACCTCCAAAACAGTGAACCCAATACGGCGAGCCATAGTAAACTGCAGGGAAGTTCCTTTCACTTGGTACGAACACTGCATCGTACATAGTGAACATGAGACTGGTCGCACAGTGTGGCTGCTATTTGATCCCGTACGATAGCAATCAAGCAATTCAACGTCGAAAGCAGTATTGTTACAGCTTTCATTCATCAAAGCAGGTGGGCCATGGACATATTTGACAGTAGTAGCACGAGGGTAGGTACAGACTGTTGCACCCTACGACCTATAAACTCGACCCACGATCAGGAATAAAAACGGACATTTTCACAAAAATTCAAACTTATCACCTCATTATACCGTTGAGTAGAACGTTTGTTGCTAATGCTTACGCCACTGTCTGCAATCGCGTTGCTAGCCAGCGCACAACAGGAAATGACTAACAACTATGACGGAGAATAGGAAAGGGATCAACCGCTGACTTAGATCCGATTGTTGTTTTAGTCATTTATATCCGATTGTAAAATATCCAAGACAGTTAGGATAAATTATAACAATAAAAAGTCAAATATATATTTAGACGCACAAAGCTTTCGGTATGAAAATACCTTAATCACTGTGTTAAACAGAAATGGGGGCAGAATTTTTCTCTCTGTCCTCATTTCTGTATAACACATTGATCAAGGTATTTTCATACCGAAAGCTTTGTGTGTCTAAATATACATTTGACTTGTTATTGTTATCATTTATCCTTAGATCCGATTAAATATCACCAAAATCATGCGCCATGTTTCCGCCCAGTTTCTAGATATATGGCGGAAATGATGTGATGATCATAGTTCACTGAGGAAAAATATTTCAGTCCAGGCCATTTTTAGTGATGTCCAGACACACCATAACATCACTAAGCATCAGCAACTAAATTACATGTGGTAACATTGAGGAGCTTAGACATAAGCTACACGCACTCAACAAAACCAGCACAGCATTTCCCCGCCCCAAGCGGATAGTATTTTCAGTCAAGTGGATTTGACATGTAGAACTGTATCTCAGTCACAATATGATATGATATTATCAGGCACATATATAGTGAATTTGAACATGTATTGTAATAACTCGCTCATGTAATATGCATGAGGCGACAGCGGACAGCTGACAAGGAAGTCTAGAAGACTCGTTGCTAAAAATGCGAATATGTGGCTTTAGTGGCCTAAATTGGAACTTAAATAATAATTTGTTATGAAATCAATCTTATCCAGGGATGGTCATTGCCATGGTCGATAACGATAGGTAGAGCGATTCTGTAGTGTGCGACTTATGTCTAATGCGGAGAAAAATATGACAAACTTCATTACGAAAAGGCCAAAACGGGCAGTTACTCGTTATGTATCCGAAACACGCAACAGCTAAAAAATCGACATAGTTGAATACTTGCTGGCATCAGTCGGGTACACCCAATAAACACATGCGTTGACATCAAAACGGTAAAAAAGGCATAAAACGGCATTACGTTGTGTGGAGGACAGCCGTAACACTAGTTCCCGTTCCCTCCATAGGGCCAGACGTGGAGTGGCGCTGCAATCGCCTGTCTGCCCGCTGCCGTGTCTGCGCTATTTCGAAATTTAAGTGCAGTTAGCACTGAAAACATCTTTGCAAAAGTGCTTTGAACAAGCTTGCCACTCACCAGGCAGCTCAAACATACTAAAAAGGCCGAGGGCATTTTTTCCGACTGTGCTGTGCTGTGCTGTGGGACCAGATATACCATTAAAGCGCGTGTGTGTGCGCGTGGGACGGTTTGTGTGCGCTCCCAGTCGGTCACGTACCGGGTAGGGCTCCAGCTGGAGCTGCTCCGACACATCCTGTACGCGCGGGTCGTCCGGCTCCAGCGTCCTGACTCGGACGCGCGCGTCATCAGCGTCCACCGCGTCCAGGGTGCGGCTCTCGAACAGCTTCCGGGTCAGCTTGTGCTCCTTCAGCTTGGTCACCACCTTCTCCTGAACCTAGCGACAGCAGACAGCACGTCAATGTGGTGGCTTAAGATGGTGATGATGATTTATGTTTCAGAATGCCAGGACTGTCTACGGTCATCGGTGAAGTAATGCAAGATTATCGTTGAAGGTATCAGTACGACGCTAAACCGTGACTGAGTGACTGAGAGTGAGAGTGAGTGAGTGACGGTGACTGTGATCGGCCCAGCGGCGTCCCGGACAATACCTTTGAGCACGCCACCGGCCGGGCCCCGGACACTACCTTTGAGTACGTGGTGCGGATGACGATGGGCAGCAGCGCCTCCTGGAAGTTGTTGACCAGCTGCTGGATGATGAGCATCACGGCCAGTTGCTGAAACGGGAACGGCACATCGGTCACTGCCCGAAAGGCAATGAATGGGATGTGGAGCCATGTGGGTCCGTGAAGAGAGCGACATGAAAAAGTTTCAAATCGACGTCGCTGGCTAATGCTAATGCTGTCACGTTTCAGCAATGACACTGGAACAGAGTTACATTATCTTGCAAAACTGAGTTTAAAAAAGGACCGAAACATCGATATATTCAACGAGTCCATAGACTTTGTGGTCAAAAACACCACTCTGTCCTGTCGGACACCCATGACCACGCTATATCCACTTACAGGGAATCTCCAACGTTCACAGCTGTTCTAGACTGCCCCTTTCTGACTTCTGAGTCAGAGCCTAGAGCCGGCCACTTACCCCTCTGAGCATCTCCAAGTCCTGGATGTAGAAGGCGATGTAGAAGAGCGACATGAAGCTGTTGACGAACTCGAACAGCGCCAGCTTGATGACGCGATAGTAGTCAAACTGCTTCTGAGTGCGGTGGTTTTCTGAAACACACCCAATCTTCAGTCCAGTATCATGTCAACGGTATAATCTTAGTGAAACTTACAAATAGTTCCACGATTAAATCTTCAGTCAAGTATCATGTCAACGGTATAATCGTAGTGAAACTTACAAATAGTTCCACGGGCCCATACAGCATAAGGATATCATAGCGATAAGCTTGAACGAGTTGCTTTACTAAACTTTGTAGACAGGTTCCAGCTATTTCAGCACATACAATGCAGCTGTCTTATCGTTACCTTTAGTGCCTGTATCCAGATCCAAAACGGCAAATCAACGTATGAGTGCTAAAAACCGCTGATCGAGGCAAAACTTTCGCCAGCGTGTGACGTTGACAACCCTAAGCCAGCGCGGGAGGCGATCGCAAGGTCCGCCAGCACACTAGACATCCGTCTAAGCGCTGATCAACTGACCCCACTCGGTGAGGAAGGTGGTCATCTTGTTGTAGTACTGGTTGAGCACGAGTACCACCACCGAGTAGATGACGGACGGCAGCATGATGAGCACGGCGGCCAGGTTGCCGCCGTACTGGTCCCGGTGCAGCGTCAGGTACTCCTCGGCCCAGAACGACACCAGCATCAGGTAGAACGAGCCGAACAGGCAGACCACCACGACGGGGATGGAGACCAGATACAGCTGAGGGCAGACAGACGGACACCCGTCAGAGGTACAGTAAAGTACCGTCAGTATCAAACACAGCGCCACAGTGCACGTTTGGGGGCCATGACGCGGTAGATCTGCCGACTTATTCATAATCACAACCACACTGCCGACCGGACACTTGCTGCCGCGAATAGAACGACGGACTTTCATCAGTTCCATGATACGTTGTTACAGGACAGAGAACCAGTCTCATTGTTCCGATGGTCTCACCTTGAGTAGCGTCTTCCAGCGCGGGAAGTATGGCATGTACCGTCTCATCTCACCTTGAGTAACGTCTTCCAGCGCGGGTAGTAGGGCATGTAGCGGCCGGTGATCTCGTCTCGCACCATCTCGCCGCGGTGGTTGGCCCGCGGCTCGAGGAACGACATCTGCGTCTTGTCCATCACGCCCCAGACGTATGCCAGCTCGTTACATTTCCGCTTCCACGCCTGCGAACACGTCAGAGAGGTGTTAATGGGACCATGACACACCTCCTCGGCACATATAGTGTCGTGTGTTTGCATGCAAGCGTTAGACTTTTCTAAAAAGAGTTAAAAAAACGCTTTGAATTAACAAAACCCACTCGCTGTACTCAGTGGCGCACAAGTTGATTAGAATTATAGCACGCTTCTACATTCCAGAGTCGCTCACGCCACCTTCGGCGGAATCGCAAACAGCCGCATATCACAGACTTCAATTATTTTTAACCTTTGGACCAAAAAGCTTACCTCGAGGAAGACGGTGACCCAGAGCATGTTGAAGAGCGAGTACAGAGCGTACTCGTGCAGTGTGTCCACCGAGAAGACCAGCTGAAGCAGGCCGAGCGCCGCCGGGCCGCACAGCGCCGTCGTGTAAAAGCCCAGGAACGAGAAATACAGCGCCACCGACTCACCAAAGTAGGCGCGGATGTCCTCTGTCGATACACAGGAGGTTCGGTGAAACACATTGGATCATACGATATTTATTACGATATTTGAAATGACTAGCGCGATGTGACTCAGCTTTAAGATTGTTCTAACAGAAATCGTTACCTTCCACAGGAAAAGGCACTTTGTACGAATATCAACAAAACATAGTTCCTCATTTTTATGCTCGATCCCGCCTGTTGTCAAATTTAGCAACGCCAGCTGCCGTAAACGATAACAGGGCTTAGCCAGTAAAGTAATCTATTACGATAGTCCATCTAGCTGATCCATGCTAGTTAATACAGGGGCGATAAGACGATAAGACGGGGGAGGAGGGGAAGGTGGAAAGAATGTCTCACCGAACGGCTGTCGCTGGAAGAGCGCCGCGTACCACGACTTGCCCAGCCGCTCGAGCTCGGCCGTGTCGTGCACGGGGAACAGCTGGGCGATGATGCCCTCCTGCAGCAGCAGCCGGGTGACGCTCTGGCCCGGGAACAGCTGGATGCTCGGGTAGCCCGGCAGCTGGTGCTCGGCCGAGCGCGCCCGGATGTGCTCCAGCTCGTGCAGCACGATCCGCTGCTTCTCGCACATGGTTAGGAGACCGTCCACGCCACCCTCGCCAAGAAACTCGTCCAGCTCAGCGCAGGTAAAGTCGCGCAGATAACCGTCCCGGTCCTTCTTCCTCAGTTCCATGCGCTCGGCCGTCTCGAGCAGTTTGATGCGGGATGCAGTCAGGTGGAGAACCAGACCCTGTAACATGAGGCAACACAGGTTTAAGGATCAGTCTCATTTTGCAAATCGTTATGGTTTGTTGTTTATTGCGGCTTTAGGGCGCAAAGACTGCAAATATTATTTTGCACTCATAACGTCAGAATGACGGCAAAATGACCTCTGCAGTCGGCGGCTGAACCATTGCAAACCAATAAGTATCACACCACTAAAATGCCATCATCATTGATCAGCAAAAAGAAGAGGAAATGGGGAAAGGAAAAAGTCTCAAATAAAAGTGCCCAGGTGACCCGTGGCTGAATTGTTAGTAGTCTTTGAGTCACTGGTCACCCAGCACGCAATTAATCTGGAGACAGAAGTCACCTACCTTTCCAGGCAGCTGGGGCTGGGCGCTGACGAGCAGCTCAGCACCGCCGGTCCGGCGGCGGCCCTGCACCCGGCTGATGTACCAGTCCACCGTGGCTGCCGGCACACCCGCCGCCAGCTCCAGCACATACAGAGTTGGTGGCAGAGACGCCGGGTCGCCGCGGATGTCAATGTCGTCATCGGTGTCGGTGGGCTCCATCTCTGCAGTGGGTGGAGGCCAGAGGATGATGTCAGCTTTACATGTCTGTTTATTGTTTGCTTGGGGTGGGGTGAGGTGAGGCAATAACAGCAGGACCAATAAGTGCTCACGACAAAGAACAAACCGTACCCACAAAGAGATTCATAATTGATATTTGAGTGGGGTGAAAATGTAAGTAACAATTGAGGAGGGAATGATATTTGGATATTTTCTAATAATAAATTCCAATTTTTCCCTAGCATTTTCCACAATTTCGCTTATCCTAAAATTGACATTGGGGTGCTATAAATTGTCCACTGTACGTACAGCCACGAACCAGCTGATTGCTCAAAGAACTGTTTCCGAGGCTGCTTTGAAAAGGCTCTCCTTCAAGCTCATCATATATGATACCCCTGAATTTTTTTGTGTTAGCCATGAGAACAGAGTACAGACCCATTAAGTGTTTTGCTTAGTAGTGATTCAAGAAGAACAATTTTAGCACATTTAGGTAACAAGCAATGAGCATGCTTCACAAGTCACAACTTCGATATGACATCAAATCACGCTATTTACTTACAAAAGGTCTGATCATCAATTGTGGCTCGGTTGCTACAAATATGCAATGGCAGAAATTGTATCTAGGTTGTAGGTTATGTTCTAGAGCCTTGGCAGGTTGTAGATTGTAGGTTGGTATGCTATAGGTTGTAGCAGTAGAATGGTAGGTTGTAGGTCGTAGGTTAGTAGGTAAGTACCGGCAAGAATATGCAAAATTTGTGCTTGGACGGTAAATCAGACTTATTGTTAATATTCACTTCAGAGCATACCATACAGTACCACATAACAAAGTAAAAATAGAATAACCTGAACAGTTATCACCTTCACGTTCATCTAAATTCTCCTCAAATGAATCCATTGCATCCAAGTCCAGAAAAAAGGACGAGCCAGGACCCCTGCAGAAAGTGTCTTCGCCTTGCTGGTTTATAAGAGATTATCTCATTTAATAACACAAATCCACATACAATTCACAAATTACGACAAATTACAGAGAAGCAAAATGCACACCGAAGATAAAAGTGGGCGTTAGCAACAGATAGCCTCAGGGGCGTGTTCTGTACCTCAGCTGTTCATTCAGTCACGTGATAAAATTTAGCATAATAACTTTATCTCCTTAGCACAGAAGTAAACCAGCAAATTAGTTTAAAAATTATCACTGATTTCTAAATTATTACGAAATATGCCCCAAAATTTCTCGAAGAAACCACGGTGGAAGAAACAAAATTGCGTGAAATTACCAAACAGTAACCACGTGACCAAACGTCAGTGTGGTAGACGATCCCAGCAGAAAATAGCTTATTAATCCCCGAACGAAATTGCAATCTTCTTCAGCGCGCTAGAGCCCTGCCGCCTTTGCACGGCTACAGTACCGCAAACTTTCTTATAAGGGGGCGAGCCGGCAATATCAAATCTTCACAATGAGAAGGAATAAGGAATAAGGATGGTAATGGGCTAAGGAGGCCACAGGTGGCCCATAGGACGCCCATATCTCGTCTATCTGTTACTTTTGTTACTTTGCACTTCATGTCTCATGATTCCTCGTGGTTGCCATCAGCTTGTCGAACTCCCTTTTGAACTGGATCGTGGTTTTTGCCGTGTGAACTTGTTCAGTTAGCTTGTTCCACTTGTTTATTACCCGTTGTGAGAAGGAGTGTCCTCGTTTAGAAGTTGCAAATCGGCGTTTATACAGTTTAAAAGCTGACCCTCTCTGACGATTCGGTTTAACGGTGAAAAGTTCACTGAGGTCAATTGACTGGAGCCTGTGCAGAACTTTATGAACTTGTAACATGTCACCCCTCTGTCTTCTAGCTTCCAGCGTGGTCAGGCCAAGATCCTTCAATCTCTCTTCATATGTCTTTCCTGCCATGCCGGGGACATGTCTGGTTGCAACGCGTTGGACCCTCTCTATCTTCTTTACCAGTCCTTTCTTGTGTGGTGACCAGACCTGTGGGCAGTACTCAACATGAGATCTCACATATGTTTTGAAGAGTAGATTGAACATCTTGGGCTTGAGTTTTTCAAATGTTCTTCTTATAATACCCCAACTGGCAAACGCTTTGTTGACACATTTAATCACTTGCTGCTCGAAATCCAGATTCGAATCAATCAGTACACCAAGATCATTCTGCACAGTTACATTTTCCAATGTCACTCCATTTAGTTTGTATTCTGGTCTGTTTTCCATGTCCTGTGTTCTAGCAATCCTGAGTACCTTACACTTGTTAGCGTTAAATGCCAGTTTCCAGTCTTTCGACCACTTCTCGGCAGTCTTAAGGTCGTCTTGTAGAGCCAGAATGTCGTTATTGGTCTTAATGCATCTGAATATCTTTGTATCGTCTGCAAAGACGGACACATCACTATTCATGTTCCTTGCAATGTCGTTAATATAGACCAAAAACAGACATGGACCAATCACCGATCCTTGCGGAACGCCACTCTTGACACTCTCCCACTGCGAGCTCTCGCCATAAACTACAACTCGTTGCTTTCGATCTGTCAAGAAGTCTTCTAACCAGCGGAGAACCTTGTCAGTGATCCCTACTTCCATGAGCTTGTGGCAGAGGCGAACGTGGGGTACACTGTCAAAGGCTTTAGCAAAGTCCATGTAAATAATGTCGGTAGGTAGTTTCTGGTCCAGTGACTGGCTGCATCTGTCGACCATCTGAATCAAGTTAGTCAGACATGACCTCCCTTCGGTGAATCCATGCTGAGAAGTCGCAAGAATCTTATTTCTCTGCAGGTGTTCCATGACATTTTTCTTTACAATACGTTCCATTATCTTGCTTGGGATACAGGTGAGACTGATAGGTCTATAGTTCGAGACTTCATCCTTTGTCCCCTTCTTGTGGACTACTGTGATATTGGCCATCTTCCACAGCATAGGGACCCTTCCAGTAAGCAGTGATCTCTGAAAAATTTTACTCAAAGGCTCGGCTATGATTGATGCCAGTTCCTTCAACAATCTGGGGTGCAACATATCAGGGCCTGGTGACTTAAATGGTTTCAGGTTCCTCAGCATGTTGAACACATCATTAGCCCCAACATCGATAGTGGCTAGCTGTGGTTGAACCTGCTCCTGGTCCTGTAGGATCTGGTTGAAAAACTCACCCGCGTATATGTCGCTTACGTCATCCTCATTGGTAAACACGTTCTTGAAGTAGTCGCTGAAGGCACATGCTGTCATCTTGTGGTTGGTGGTGAGGCTGCCGTCAGGTAACTTGACTTCCCCTATTGGAGGTTTCACTCTTTTGGCGTTGCAGTAAGAGTAAAACAGCTTGGGGTTCTGCGAGATGTTTATGAATAACCTGTGCTCATGTTGCCGTTTCATTCTTCTGATCTTGCTTGTCACCTTTTGTCTAGTCCTGACGTATCTTGCATACAACTGCTGTCTTGAGGATAGATTCAGCCTGACTGCATTCATGTAGGCATTCCACGCAAGTCGCTTCTTCTTCACAAGCTTCCTAGCCTGCTTGCTGAACCAGCCACGCTTTGGTTCTGGCGATGAGGTGACCTTCTTAGGAACACACGTGTTGCGAATTTCAAGAAGGTTGTCAACAAACTTGTTGTACTGTGTGTCGCAATCGTTTAAAGTCAACAGCTCTTCCCAGTTTAGTCCCCTTGCAATTTCCCGTGCCTGAGCATAGTTACCTTTGGCATAGTTCCACTTTGCACTCTGCTGCGAGCTGGTATTACATTTATTTGCTGTTCCATTCGGGAGTAGAACCCTGGCAGATAGAACCGCATGGTCGCTCATCCCCAATGGAGTCATGGTTTCCAGCTGCTCTACATTGTCCCTCCTACTGGTAATGACTAGATCTAGAAGGCTGGGTGTCTGATTTCCTCTTGTCCTGGTTGCGCATGTCACATGTTGATACAGCCCACACTGTTGCACCATATCCAGGAACTTAACAGGCGTGTTGAAGCCCTCATTCATTTTGCTCTTTGCTCTCATTTCAGTCCAGACGATTTCTGGTAGGTTAAAATCACCCAGTATAATCACTTCACTTGAAATATCAGTAGCCTTCTCAATTATATCGACAAGTTTCCTGTCGTTATCACTTGAACTGTTTGGCTTACGGTACACTGTCCCCACCAGTACTTTACTTCTCCTTCCATAGTAAATCCAATACCACAAACTTTCCTGAAAATCAGTTGTGGAACAGGACATTTCGTTACATTCTACGAGCTTGAACTTTGTGGTAACATACATCACAATCCCACCCCTTCGCTCAGTTGTGTTTCTCCTCACTAACTCATAGCCTGAATGTGACAGGATGACGTCGTGAATACTTGCATTGCAGTTGCTCTCCACCACAGCTAACAGATCTGGCTTCTCAGTGTCCAAGAACATGTGCAATTCAACTAACTTATTGAGGACACTATCAGCATTGGTGAAAGCAACATTCATGGGGAAATTCATGGAGAAATTTGAGTGTTGGTTTGGCTCTGAATAATGTAAGTTCTTTGCTCTTTGAGTGACGATGGCAGGGTCGCGTGGGTCCGACAGCAGCTGAATTATACGCGTATTTTCTTAAAAAAAGGTGCGGTGGTAGCTGGGCCCTATTTCACCGTCCCGACGCTGCGCGCGCTGGGAGCTACGGCATACCAGCGGCGCGTTGGGAAACATCAACAAACTCGGACGCTCGCAACGCTGAAGGGTCGAATCGAATTTGTCTCAAACGCTGCACCAATACAGCAGCGCGCGGCCGTGAAACACCGCCCTGGCGTCAGTCGAGTTAGCGAGCACCATTTAAATGTTGTGGGCTGACTTAGAGCCTCAGCCGCCGTGCTCACCTGCTCACCTGCTCACCTGATCCGCTGTCGGCGCCGTCTGGCGGTACGGTGCGGCGCGGGTCGGCCACCCAGGCCGGCAGCTGAGGCAGCGGCGCGTCCTCGTCGAACGACAGGGACCGCACCCCCGGCACGATCGAGTGACTCGATCTGCAAGAGAAATCACACTTTGAGGTCACCTGTCCGGTTATCGGAGCGTCTTATGGAATCTTATACACTTAAACGGCACACAGTGACAGGGCTTATGGGTCTAGGGCGGCTTGATCTGGTCAGTTAACCTGCTGGTTTGGTCACGGAACCCCGCCCACACGATATGCAATCTCCCCGTGCCTCAGACTAGCACAGTAAATGAGTTAGGGCTGGCAATCGCAGCCCCGAACACGACGAGGGCGGGGGGGGGGGCAGGCATACAAACTGCTGGAATTCTGATTGGATAAATACAATAAGCCGAGAGCGGGAGAAAAGACATGACTTACACATCAGTTCTGTTAAAAAGCTTCCTCAGCCAGTTTTCGAGGATGTGCCGGACTGATTTCATTATGTAACGCTGAGACTGATCTTTACCATATCACGTTGAGCTTTCATTGTTTGCGCTGATTTCATTCATTATGCTTTGATTGATGCCTGTTTGTGGTGTTCAGAAAAATATTGATGGCGTTTAGGCAAGAACGTCGTGTGCAATGTCGTGCCATAACGCATTGAAGTGGACGCAGTAGCTAATCCCGAACCCTTCTGAAGGTTTAAAATCCGGCTGAAATCTTCCATCTCTGCCAGGGGTTAACCCAATGGCCGGCTTCATTCATTCGGGAATAAAAATGCTACATGAAAAGTGTGCATGCTCACGATAGTGAATAATTCTGTGAATGAAACAATGATACAATTACATTAATGGGTATTGTTAGCGTTTTCTTATCTACCGTCCATGCTTTTCAGACCGCGATAAAGATAATGCTACTGTAATTTATATGTTTTAGCGGTTTTAGATATTCCCGGAGCGCGGAAGAATGCAGATATTGACGCAAATTTCCAAGAAAATGCTTATCGAATTCCATGCATTTTCAAGTATTGTTTTCTACTTTTTAGCAAAACACTCATGCAAATATACGCAAAACAACCTTTACTTTCAGGATTTATGGCACCCCAAGGTGAACCGGGGAGGAATCGTTGCGATCCAATTCGTTTCTGATTCACCAGAGGTAACCGAAGCCAATGAAAGAGAAACAGACTAGTTCAAGAACAGTCCGACATCGGTATCAAATGAAAATTATAAGTTGACTCCAAACTACATTACGCAATGCTGGGAAGTGTCAAAACACTGCATTGCGGTGAGCCGATTGCTCCAGCGCGGCGTCGGTCTGGCAGACGAGCTCCGGTGACCGGGCTCCGCCCCATTCTCCGGAGCCATCTCCGCGAGCTGGCGGAGGGCCAGCGATGAGTGGTCTGACGGAGACGGGACGCTGCACGGCGCCGGCACCAGCCCAGCTGAGAACCGCACCAGGCCGGCACCAACCCTGCACCAGTCCAGCCAAAACCGGCACCGGCATTGCACCAGTCCAACTGAGCCCCGCACCAGTCCAGCCTGGTCCGACTCCAGCCCACGCCGGTCCAGGATAGGCCAGCACCACTGGGAACCAGTCCCTGCCAGACACCAGACACTATTCGAACCCCACCCACGGCACCAGCCCAGTACCAGCCCAACCGCCCGTCAGCACTATCCGGGCTCCATTCCACACAGACCAGTGTCACCGGGCAGCAGTCCGGCATTTCTCCCGCCCCGCCCACCACCAGTCCGGACCCTGTCCTGGCCCGTCCTGCACCACTCCACCAATACCCGGCACCAGTCCAGCCCCGGCTCGGCACCAGTCCAAATGCATCGGATGCGCTCCGAAGGAGCCACAGAAGAATGTCGCGAACAGCGACATCTGACAGAGCCATAGGATAACACACATAAACACACAGATGCAAACACCACGCAGTCATAAACACACGCACGCATACAATTACAAACAAGCACAGCCACCAACGCCACATCTTCGCCTGGATTAGTGACATGACAAGACAGCTGTTAACATGACCTGGGCCCGGCCTAAAGCGCATGCTTGACATAGGTCACTGTCCAATGCACTTGTCTGAACCGGGGTCAGGGTCGGCTAAGTCTGGTGTTAGGGCCAGTTAAGACCGAGGTCAGGGTCGATTAAACCTGAGGTCAGGACCTGTTCAGACCGAACTCAGGACCTGCTCGGCCTCGAACCGAGGTCAGAACATCCCCAGACCGAGATCTGACCTTGCTCAGGCCGAGGTCAGACTCGGCTGGACCGAGGTCAGCCCCTGCCCGGAGGTGGGCTCCGTCTGCGCGGCGCCGGTGGGCGGCAGCGACTCACCTGTGGCGGCGTCCGCAGCGACCGATCGTCTGGGCCGACTCCGACCGATGGGCCCCGTAAAAATAGCGTCCCCGGCCGGCCAGGAATACCCGTCCTGACGGGCGCCGGCCGCCGCCAACTCAGCGCGGCGGCAGCCGCTCCTCGCCGCCCAGCGACCGCCTCACTCCGAGTCGCCGGGCTGGAACACGACAGTAGCACCGTGTACGGCTTTACGGTATACGGTGTAGGTCCACGGGACAACGCTTCATGCATACTGCGCACATTTTGAAGTTAAAACCTGAAACATTTTTGTGTACTTTTGCACAAAAATGCAAACTTTCCAAACTTCTGATAAAAACTAAATCGCTAACGCGTGAAATAGTCAAACCTCTTCTTAGGCCTGGCGACTCTTCCCGCTACCTTATCTGGAATTAATCATAAAAACTAAAGTTGTCAAATTTCAGTAGGTACTGAGCATCAGCGGCGTCTCACTTCCAATAAATTTCAGAACGAGCGCAAGTAACGCCAACCGCCCGTCCTTCCAAAGCGGGATTGCATTTTCCCCACCTTGAAATGGAACGAATGTGACTTACCCAGATATCACTGTCAGTCGAGCAGATGGGTGCAGTTCCTCCATTGATGTCATAATCCATATCACGGTGCGTCGAGAATAAGAAGGCATCGAAGCAAATACATACATCAACGGAAGGACACAATGGGAACCATAGACCACTATATATCTAGATATATAGTGGTCTATGGGAGAACACATTAAGATGGCTTCAGTATTTTCCGCCACGACCAATAGACCCAAAACCAGCACAAGAGACTCACGATTTCAACGGATCTTATCGCAAAGGTGTCAATTATCTCGGAAAATTACGTCGAGGGCACAACACATTTTTTTAGCGTTCTGAGGCCAGCTCTACAAGATTGGTAGCAAAGCTCATCGGCTGTATCAAAACTGACGTTATTACTTTTTTATTACGGTCGATCATGGACATTCATTATGTAGTTAACAATACACACTAGCACCAAAGCTGTGTTCATTGTCAAAAATATGCGTTACACTAAATGAATTAAATGGAATAGGACGTACCTTACAACTAATCACGAGCCAACAAATAGAAAATACACAGCAGCCCTTTGAGTCCATTCTGTACGTACGATGAAGGAGCTGACAATTGTCCACCTCAGTCACTGAGCTCCAGTTCTGAGCGCAGCCAGGACTCCCTGTCCGGAGGAGTCGCCTCCCTGGGCGGTGACCGCTGTCCACTGGGGCCGACCGCCTCCCGTTCCCGCAGCTCCTGCTCGTGGCGGATGGCGGCCGCCAGCGACTCCTCGCGCGGGTCCTCTCCCTCGTCCTCCTCTTCCTCTTCGGCGTCTCCGGCGGCGGAGGACGCCGGCGGTTTGCGGCGCTTCTTGCGCGGCCGTTTGGGCGGCGGAGGCCGCTCCCCGAGGGTATTCTGGGGACACGAGTAGGAGAGGTGGCCCGTCTCGCCGCACTCGTAGCAGCGCGATTTGTCCGGGTACTCCCTGCGGCGCACGAACTCGGCGGCGCGGCCGTTGTCGCGCGCCAGGGAGGCCCGCAGGGTGCGTCCGAACAGCTGGTGGCCGTCGAGGCCGGCCGCACACGCCGCCGCCTCCTCACGGTGCAGGAACAGCACAAACGCCACGCCCTTGCTGCGGCGCGTCTGTCGGTCCTTCATGATGGTGACGCGAACCACGCGTCCATACTTCTCCAACAGCTTATGAATGTCACTGTTAGTGAGAGCAAATGGCAAATTTGCCAGATACACTGTGCTCTTACTGGGTGCCAATTTACCACTCATGACTTGCTCAATTGCAGCTTTGTGTAACCAGATCTGGATGGATGGTTTATACCAGAATTGCACAAATCGAAAATCTGGAAACAGAAGTTTTTTTTTTCAAGATGGGTCACAATTTTACTAAACACACTATTATTTTAGGTCAATCTTCATTGCCAATGCAATTAAAATTATCAAAACTATTCTTCAAGTCATGAATTATAATATCTACTGGTACTTGAAAGCTAGATAACTTTTATACCCTGTATAAAGACGGCGGCAGAAAGGGAGAAGTGGCAGTGGGGCATGCAGCTTAGTGTCCCTAAATAACCCAAAAGAAATTAACAATACACGTTAAAAAAACATATAAATTAGGTATAGTCGAATACAGAATGATGTTCCACTCCTCAGAAGCTATCAGTTGACCGGAGCGCTAAGTTGTGTCGTTTATCACACAAGTAAGCGTGTCAATTCAAATTGTGAGCATTGGGACAAAGCTATAATTTGTGAACTCAGCCTGTGTGATGCAGCACAGCCTACCATTCCAGGCAAATAATTGCCTGTGAAAAGTGGAACATCATTCTGTAGTCGACTATACATGATCTAATAATTTACAATCTACAAGAATTTGAAATAATATGATAAAAAGTGCCAAAATTTGCGCTGCGGAGTACGGTCTCAAAATACGTACCCTCTATTTACAACCCCCCAACGTCCACCATAAAAACAATGGCCCAAACAAACTGAAGTAAGTCAAAAAAAAACTCTGTAAATTCGAATTTTGCACTGAAGTACGTCAAAAACCTCAAAATTCGAATTTTGCAAAATATCACGCAAAAAATGTGCGGAAACGTCAAATGTGATAATGGCGCAGCATTTGTCGCAGAGTAAGTCGCTGCTTTTTGTGAGATAAATTTACTGACGTAAAATAAAATATTTAAGGATAAAAGTTGTTTCAAATTGTTATCATGATTATTGTATTACACGTTTTTTGCATTTTTTAATAAATTATTGTAATTTGATTGATAAATAAATGTCTAAATAAATAATAATTAGGTATTTGACGACATATGCATGCCTAGTGCTCGTAATTATGCTATTTTGTTGTGAAGGCATTCTTGGAGCCTTGAAGTATCAGTTTGTGATGCATGCATGGGTGCATAGAATGGGTGTGATGCATGCAGGGGCGGCGCCACGGGTTTTCGATAGGGGGGGACGGGGACCTTGCCTGACCGAAAATCCCAAAAGTAGATACTGATCGTGTATGCAAAAAAAAAAAAAAAAAACGAGGCACGTAACGCCGCGAAACTTGGCAAAGCCCAAAACACATCGAATGGTGCATCCCGTTTCCAAACTTATCCTAGGACACCTAAGATCGATCACCTTTTCAAGCATCCTTGCCTCTAAAGTCTAAATCAAAATTTGCAGTCTTGCCAACTCAAAGCTGGTTTCCTACAAGCTGCGAATTGCTTAGGTATGAGTAGCAGTGCCAACTATTCTTACGTTTCGTACTTTCAAATTTTCGATCTTACGTCTGGTCAGCTTTATGGCTTCACCATCAAATAGTCATGGAGGAAAAGTGGGAATGTCTTCTGCTCTGACAAGTGCGCCAAAACTGCTATATAATTTCAGAATCATGACATCACCACCTGATCCATATGCAACGGGCAGGGTGCAGCTAATGGCTAGCCGTCAGTGGTCATGTCATCGGTGGTCACTCAAAAGGTCATGCTAGGTCATGGAAGGTCACCAGCCGTTATTTGATCACACTTTCTGATGGATTTTCTTACCAAGAGCTTCGCGGAAAAACGAGCGCATGCACCGTTGAAAAAAAAATGAGTGAAAGGGTCTCAGGTCCGACGACCTCTGCAGGTGAAATGGCCCAGGTTGGATTCCGGTCCTTGTTGATTAACTTCGTCAAAAATGGCAGTAGAGCTGTGATGTCGGCACCATTGTGTTCGTCATGATCGAGCTGGCACGACCTGCATCGTTCTCATATTCACCCTCCAATCGTAACAACTACAGCAGGGATTGGCAAATGGCGGGGCACCCCCTTTGGGAGGTAATGAAGGTCTCTGGAAACCTCATCCCTCATCTCTTTAGCAGTAGTGGCTCTCCTTATGGAACAGGTCTCTTGGCTGGTCTGTTTCACCCCAGAATTCAAAGACTAGTCAAGGTAAAACCGAGCGCACCACAGTGAGCACAATTTGATAAGCTGGTGTAGGTATCTCAATTTTCATGTAGAACCTTTCACGTATCACGTACCTAAAACCCTTTCGTGCACTCATGCAAAAGCAAACTGCCATGTTTCAACAGCTGGTAATGGCATTTTCACAGCCGCTGACGTAAGAAGGGGAGGGGGGGCTCGATTAGACCCCCAGCCGTTCGGCCGCCCACCGAACTTAGTTTTGAAGAAAAAAAGAGTGCTATCGAACCCCTTGACGAGAGGGAGCCGATGCTACCCAATTATAAGGTCTTGGGCTACTGCGTGCTTTTTGGTCCTGCCTGTAATCTATCCGAACACTTCTCCCCAAGTGCTGGGGTTAAATGGCATAGATTTCAAATGGTTCCTGTGGTAGAACTGCCATGCTTGAATTTGACTTACATATTAGGAATAGACAATATCCATAGAGTAACGGAAATCTATTGAATTTCAGTAGACTTGGTTTTGTCGGCAATGGGGTCTGGCAGTGGGGTGGGGAGGTAATAACCCTGTGCCTGGCGCCCCAAAAAGGGGGGGGCACGATCCCCGCTACCGATCACCTTATAACTACAGGCATCACAGCTCCACACCTTTTGCAGATGGCCAGGACCCCCTGCAATACATCCCAACAGCAATTTTTATTCAGAACCTGCCTTGATTAACCAACGATGCATTAAATGCGACGGATAACTCTACAATGCGTTATGATCAACTATTGAACGGGCCTCGCCGATAGGGGGGTACTGTACCCCCCTAACTTTCGATAGCGGGGGACCTGTCCCCCCCGTCCCCCCCGGTGGCGCCGCCCATGGATGCATGCCTCATGAATATGATGGCGTAATGATGATGTGGGTGATGTGAGTTAAGTTTTCAAGATAGCTTCTCGACTGTTGTCTGCTGAGGGACTGCTTGTTGCTACAGATGTCTCACACATATCTTTGAAAAACCAACGGTGAGTCGGCACTGCTGGCTGTGTGTTGGGGATGCGGGTCAGGGTCGGGTCGGGGCGGTCGGGGTCTGCACGGGCTGCATTTTCTTTCTCCATCGTGCAAAGATTTGCATTTCTTCGCGCACACGTCTTCCCCGTATTTTTTAGGGATTGCACCAATGACGAGAGATTGTGCCGACTGCTGAACTCAACCTGGGGGGGGGGGGGGTGGAGGGGGGATGCCCGAGCTCTCCTGAGGGCTGTTCACGGTTCACGGGCGTCGGGCACCGCACATTGACATTGATGTGCGGTGGGTCCAGCAGGCGTGGGGGTAGGGGATGGGTAGGCGGTTCCGACGTCACGGCTGCGTGCGGTGGACGGTTTCCTGTGGCCGGTCCCGACCGGCCACAGCGCGGACGCTGTGTGCGGTGACGGAAGGCTGACGTAGGGACGCAGTGGGCGGAGCTTGGAGGCTACAGTGGCTTGGCTTTGAAGCCGCAACAGACGGCGGAGGTCAAGGCCACCGCTAGGGTGGCCCGTGGCGTCTTCTTCTTTTGTGGTCGGCTCCATCCAGTGGATGCAATGCTTACTGCTTAGCCTTTTATCAGTTAAACATTTTAACATTACGTCACAGGCGCCGGGGAATCGAATGATGGTCATAGAAGTCATCAGTGACCTTATGAGGTTATCGTAACATTGAAGTCGATGAAAACGCCACCATTCGATCTAAAATGTTTTGCGCGACAAAGAATGGCTAAGAACGGTCGTGAATTCGTCGATGAGTTTTGGGCCTTGGATGCCTCATTTAGCGTTTGTTTATTTGTTTTGTTTTGTTGGGTTAGGCTCCGGTCTGACGAGACCATTTCAGGGTCGGAAGGATGATATAGGCATTAGGGGGAGACATTGGTCTGGGCGAGTACCCTGGTGCATCGCCGGGGCTGACTAGCCCGTCCAGGGGACAGGCCGACCAGCCCCCCCAAGCACTCACCGCACGCGGCTACGGACGTGCTCTTATCGGGCATTCCCGTATCAGCATGGGATAAAGCTGCCCGTCCAGCCCTGAACAGGGGGTTGAGGCTTGGAGGAGAAGGGTTTTGATTTTGATTGTCCTGAGGATGGAAATGACGGAACGGTCCATATAGGATTTAGCAATATGCCGTCGTGTGTCTAACCGAAACTGGCGGATCACTCTCTAGTGAAGATATGACGACATGGGTGATCACGTAAGGTCGGCACTTGACATGCGGCCGACTACCGGCTATATGTATGTATGTATGTACAGCCCTCAGCAGACTGCGTGGTAGGTATTCTTTTTCCGACAAAACTGATAATAATTCAAAAGTCATGTTATCAGTCGGTCGAAGCTCACTGCAAATAGATGCGCCATGCTCCACTCCTTCGATAGGGCCTATCAATAAACAAAGCATACGCCTTGTGTGGCAACAAAATGTAAAAGTTCGTTTTGGGGGCAAATATAAACTTTTGGGTTTTGTTGCCAAACTGGATGGCAAATGCATACGATGATAATGCCAATCTAAGCTGCGCCTGCGGAGTCTCGCGCATCTTGCTGTTACGATTTTCGAGTGCCCGATAGCATAGTATTCGCGTTATTTTCGGTTTTGTCGAAAAAAGAATACCTACCACGCAGTCTGCAGAGGGCTGTACGTGTTCCCTGCGACTCGCGGCTCTCTGCCGCCGGCCTGACCCAAACGGCTGTTCGGGAGCGCGTACCTCGGAATGATCGCTGGAATATTCAGCTTCCCACCTGGCCGGGCCAACCAAGGCTGAATAGCGAATATGAATAGCTCCGGGCCCAGCGACCATCCTCTTCCGTTCCCTCGTTTCCATCCTCAGGAGTCAGTCAGAATGGTCAAATCCTTCTCCTCTACGTCTCCACTCCGGCCCGTTCCGGGCTGGACGGGCAACTTTATCCCATGCGGGTAGCCCTCCAGGCCCGTAGCCGGGTGCAATGAATACCAGTGGGCTGGGTGGCCTGTGCACTGGATGGGCTCAGCACCGACGACCCAGACCAATGTCTGCCCCTAATTTCCATCATCCTTCCGGCTCTGAAATGGTCTCGTCAGACCGAAAGAGCATAACCCAACAAAACAAAACAGTGGCTATCGACTTCAGCCACGGCAGACGATTGGCGTGCGTAGTGGTTGTCACAGATTTCATCTTCCTCAGGGCCAAGATTTTAATAGTTATTTTCGAACGTCTCGCTCATGGCTAATTTGAATTGGCTTTACTCGCTGAGTGGCCATAACATCCAAGGCAAGCCGATCCCACATCCTTCTTGGCATCAGCTTCGTAGTAGTCCTCGGTCATCTTGATCGACCTTATCTTCCCAACGATCAATGCAACGCAAGGAGTATTGGCGCCGTCACCAATCTTCACTGGAGTGCACCAATCCTCTCTCAATTGCTGTATTCGAGCCTGTTCTTAGTTGTCCGTTCTGCACCATGCATCCGCGCGATGTGAGTAGCTTTTCAGGCTTGCAGCCAACCGGGCACTCGATATTTTGTTTTGACCTTTCTTCGATTTCTTGACGATCTGAGAAACCCCGCGACTTTTTACGTCAATGACTTGCCACAAGAAATCGCTTACTTAGCTGACAGTTATCATCTTAGTCAATGGACCAGTGACCACTTTCTGTGGGTTGTATATGTTACAGACCGTATGAAAACCCAGTCCGTTTGCAAACGGCCTGGCCCAGTCAGGCCGTTTGAAAACGGCCTGAAAAAGCCGGCCGTTTGCAAACCGCCTGAAATATCAGGCCGTATGAAAACGGCCTAGGCAGTTTGAAACGGCCTAGACAGTTTGAAAACGGCCTAGTCAGTTTTCAAACGGTCTGGCGAAGTACAACAGCCTCTGAAGATTGAACTTAATGGATCCAGGCTGGTCGATGATCAGGTTGCATCCATGTGAATGCTTGCGCATTCCATGCCGAATGACTCGTCTACATATGTCGAACATTTTCTTACTGTGCTGATGCTCGGCCCGGCCGTTTTTCGACAATATTACTAATTATACAAGTTCACAGTCCGCCTGTGTACGGCCATCCAGTTGATGGAGCCTGGTGAAGCCACTACTGGTGAGGTCTGGTGAAACGTATCACTACAAGACTCACCGATTATTTTGCGGCATAAAACGCCGGAGCGCGCAATGGACATCAGAGTTCACATCAGTGGCGCGGGAACCGGGGGGGGGGGGGCTAGCGGGGGCTGAGCCCCTCCAACTTTTCGGCTGGGGGGGGGGGGCTCGCAATGTATTTGAGCCCCCCTCACCCCACCCCAGCTGGAGGAATCGAAATCGGAAATCTACCAGCATAATTTCATAGATTCATACATAGGCGCGGGAACCGGGGGAGGGGGCAGTGGGGGAAGCTTGCTCCCACAGCTCTGGGGCCGTGGATGCGGTGCCCCACAACTTTTCATTAGGTCAGGAACCGTTGGGGCAGCTTGTCCTCCCCAAATTAGGGGTTGTGGGTCACAAAGGAAGAAAGCATGTAAGTGAAAAATCCACCTCTTTCACTGGCTCGGCAACTCATTTGGCAGATTAAAAGTTAAAACCTTTATTCCAGGTTGCCAAAACGGTAGTTTCTTCACTCAGATGAATACCTGACTTTTTGCAAATATTTTCGTTTTTTATTGTTGAAAAGGCCAAGGTCTGAAAAAGGTGGCCTAAAACCGGTGAGAAAACTAGATTTGGGGGTACCCTAGGTTGATTTCTATTATGGTTCAGCCCCCCCCCCCCCCGTCTGGAAGAAGTTCCCGCGCCACTGCACAGTGGGCGTTTCAGGGGTTCTAGCCTCTCACAACCTTTCAACCCTTATAGGCTTGGATCTAGGAGACCTACGCCTACGAATTACACACCAAACTGTAGCAAATTCATTAAAGAACGTGAATGCATGACGTTTCCCATGTTATAAGCTTTCGCAATGTGCAGGAACTGCATGAAATGTTGCATAAACGTGGCAAAACGGAGCACTTCCATTCCCCCTTGCGGTTTGGCCCCTGATGGAGCTAGAGCTTCGCAGAAAAAACGAGCTTGCTGCCCGTGATGAGACGAAGCCGATGATACCCAATTTTAAGGTCCTAGGTCATTGTTTGACCTTCCAGGCCAGGTCAATTACCCAAAAGTCGGGAAAATCGGAACCTGTTAAAACATCGTAAAGTGAGGTTGCCTTGGGGCTTTTCGGGGTGCTGATCACGAATTGCATGCTAGTTTTGATCACAGATGATTTCTTCATGCATTTAGGCCAGGTTGAGTCAGGTCAGGTCAGGTCAACCAGTATGCGCCCTGCCGGGTATTCATAGTAGGTGTCAACCGCTACTGACAGCCTCGTAACATGATAAGAAGGCACCAAAACTACTTCCTAAATGCTCAAATGGTCGCTAAATTCGAAATCAGCTCCAAAAACTAGCCTAGAAACATGTAAAACTCGAAAAAGTGAAACGAGGTCACCAAAGGTCAATGACCTGACCTGACCTTCAGGTGACCTTGACACCCAGCATAATGCATGGAACCAACATCATTTCACATGGTTGAACGTTTGAAACCACAAAAAGACTGCAACCGCGCGGATAATGTGAGCCGACACGCCGAATCGCGATTCCGGCCAAACATGGTCTCGGGAAATAGGTCACAGGTCAAAGGTGATTTGGGTCAGGGTCATGAAATTTTCAGTGTAGGTGTAAAATTGATTAACCCGAATGTACTGAAAGTTTCGTCTTGATCGGCCCCTTTTTCCGCGAGTTATTCGCGAAAAAAACGAGGGTGGTCCGTTCGACCCCTTATAAGTCCGAGGGTTAAGGTTTTGAGTCGTTGACCTCGAGTCAAAGTCTGGTAAGAGTCCCTCAGGTCACGAACTTGGTCAAAGGAGGTCGACTGTCTAACTTACTTTGTTCCGGAGGTGTTGACGGAAAACTAATATGGCCCTTGTGACGTCATAAATGACGTCATGCAAGGTTAGCAATGCAAAGGTGTAGCACCGTACCTTGCAGGGAGCGCATGAAACCATG